TTAGCGATCCCACGAATCGATAAACACTCCAGAGAATTTTGTTTGTTACTCGACAGAGCGATGGCTGTCACTCCCGACAGCCTCGTCACTCACCACAATTCTACCAAAATTATGTTAACACTTCACACCACAATATATTATATTTATATATATATATATATATATATATATATATATATATATATATATATATATATATGTCGTACCTAGTAGCCAGAACTCACTTTTTGGCCTACTATTCAAGGCCCGATTTGCCTAATAAGCCAAGTTTTCCTGAATTAATATATTTTTTCTAATTTTTTTCTTATGAAATGATAAAGCTACCTATTTCATTATGTATGAGGTCAATTTTTTTTTATTGGAGTTAAAATTAACGTAGATATATGACCGAACCTAACCAACCCTACCTAACCTAACCTAACCTATCTTTATAGGTTAGGTTTGGTTAGGTAGCCGAAAAAGTTAGGTTAGGTTAGGTTAGGTAGGTTAGGTAGTCGAAAAACAATTAATTCATGAAAACTTGGCTTATTAGGCAAATCGGGCCTTGCATAGTAGGCTGAGAAGTGCGTTCTGGCTACTAGGTACGACATATATATATATATATATATATATATATATATATTTTTTTTTTTATTTATCACTATCCACATTACCAATACTATTTTAGGAGCCAGATTATTTCATTCAGGGTTTTGCAAGCTGGCAATAGATGATATATATATATATATATATATATATATATATATATATATATATATATATATATATATATATATATATATATATATATATATATATATATATATATATATATATATATATATATATATATATATATATATATATATATATATATATATATATATATATATATATATATATATATATATATATATATATATATATATATATATATATATATATACTTATCACTGCCCTGGGAACACAAGAAAATAACCAATCCTCTATCACTCCACAATAATCAATTGCCAGGAATCCCTGATGTTACACACTGACACTGACCTGAGCGCTCAGTACTGGAGGTCGACACCTGCAAGATTATATCACATGGAACGAAATCAACAACAATGATTGAATTATCAAAATTCTACCAGCATGGAATATAATTATATTCTATGTAAATTTGTTCCCGTGTGTACCACACACACACACATGTACACACACACACATGTACGTCTGTCTACACCAGACCAAATCCCACTGGACTGACAAGATGTCAACAAGGGTGATACTCTCGATCGCCCAAACTTCACTATCACCTCTACAGGTGCTCTTAGGGACAATGCGATGGAACACCTGACTTTGAATTCAGTCTTAGAGACTAATAAATCACCAGAATACACACATAAGTACTTACTCATTTATACAGCCGGCCTCACACACTCACACAATTACCATACATCAGGCGCCCAGCTGGTGGGTGGGTGCTCACGTTGGTGGAGGCTAGGCCTCACCACCGATACCACGTGAGGCTGGATACCTCACGTGGTATCGTTCGTACAAAGATGACTTGGTGCATCTTTCGAACCCTCCCTCACAACACACGGCTCGGTCGCACCCCCGACCCACCGGTGGAGCGGATGTTCGTACCCAGATGACGCACCCAAGGTATAGCGTCTTACACAAACATGGGAAATCTGCCTTAAAACACTGACACGAATTTCCCCGTTCCCATCGACTACTACAGAGCACTAGCAGGAATTAAAACGTCTATAATCACTAGAATGGGGATTTACGAGTCCTAGTGCTTCTCGTATGCAAATTACCCACCTCCTAGATCTCTACCCAAAGCACTCCCTATCTCTCTTCCTCTGAAACTATGAAGGTGGCCGGATTCTGACGCAGTCGTCGACGTAGATTAGGCAGGAGGTGGAGTAGCAGAGTAGGCAGTCACCACGATGTCGTCTTGCCCAATGGGCAAGAGAGAGACGTCAGGCTGTGGTGGTGACTGGAGCAGAATGATGCCTTGGGGCAGGAACACCGGCTTCCTGGGCTCTGCCTCAAAAGAACCAATCAGAGGGAGGCACACAGCGGCCTACCCCTTTCAATCAATCAGTGACGGTGTACCATGGCCCTAAGGCACTCCAAAATGGCCGACCAACATGGCGGCTCAAGAGGGACGATGCTGGAGCTAGCTTGGGAGGGCCCCAAGCTCGCGCTGGAAGTTCCCACGCAAATCTTGAGTCCCTCCAAGCTTACAATGAAAAGATGCTATTGCTATAACTCTGTCCACAGACGTGCTACCCCGGCCAGGGTAACATTTCTGGAATGCTGATGACTGGGGCTCTCACATGAGCCCAAACACAAGATGTTTCGGGTACTGGTTACCAAACTTAGGTCCGCGCACTTAACAAGTGTACTTAGCAAGTGTACTGGCCTCCACAGGCAGGAGAGCACCATTGTAAGTGAGCTGGTGAACCATCCCCTCACACTCAGAATCGGGAATCCAGGGTTTGATTCCAGAGTTGGACAAAAAAAGTTTGACTTTGGGGGGACCTAACTACAAGCCTAAAGTATATATATCGTTCGATCCCTGATAGTCCAAGCAATTGGGCACCGTGCCTTCACTCCTTCCTCATACCCCAGCTCTAATACTGGCCCCCTATCCCCTTCCCATTGCTATCTTGCCATACTGGCTTAGTGTTTACCCTGATACCTTCCTCACCTCTTCAAGCACCGAGAACAGGAAATACTTTTATATTTCTTTATTATGCACCTCATACCCATCCCCTGGACGGTGGTGGAAAGGGTTACAGAGGCGCATAATGGGTTTAGGAACTGAACCCCATAGTTCATTTAGCTAAACAGGTGACAATCTTGTGAAGCTAGTTGCACAACTGTTAACAGGAAAAACAGTAATCAACTGGTGCTGTGGTCGACAAGATGTGCCTGATGTTTCACAGCATCGCTGGTAATACTAATGTGGTCAAAACTCTGTGAAACTAACTGGCCTTCAAATTATGCCTAGGGGAAATACAAACACATAAATAAAACAACAAGTTTACTGGGACATCTCAATAAGGCACGGTAAAAAATACACAAACGAACACAACTAAGTTCTCAATACCGATATTATTTCACACTAAAATCCGCTTGACTCAATCTCTTGGGACTCATCCATATCATGCTCTAGGCTGCACACATGCTGTCTGAGCTAGCTGTCACTAGGCTGTATCCTAGTGCAGTGGTACACTAGCTCCAGTATGCTTAACAACAACAATACAGAATGGCTGTGTCACAAAATATCACTACTGGGGTGAGGAAGCCATATCGTCCAGACTCTTAAATGTCCTCAGGAATCCGCCACAATTTATACAGTAAATATCACCTACCACCTGTCAAACATGGTGTACATCGGCAGACTGATCCAGTTCCCATCGAAACATGTACATACTGTATATTATAGGGTCAATGGACTATAATAATACCACACAAATCAGAGTGCGACACAGCGCAGCCAATCGTCCTCAAAGTCAACCCAGCAGTGACGGGAGGCGGCTCGGCAGAGCCCCGGGAGACACTTTAGCCAACTCGGCAAACTATCCGCCACTACTCTTTCAAATTATCTTTATCTCAGAACATGACATTTACAAGCTATAACTCCTTAAACATACATATAACTAATAAAATATCGTACAGTACATTTCTCAAGAAAGTAACAAAGAATTCTGCTACACCAAAAGCACAATATAATTGTGTGAATAAATCAACAAAGAGTTCATACCGACGAGACATGGCATCAGTGACCTGACCAGTACGCATGAGGGAGGGGGGGAGGAGGAGGAGGGGGGAAGGGAGGATTCTAGACACTTTACCAGTCAAGTTCTAATACATCATCATACAAGTATACAGGTATAAACAATCTAGCAACAACATTGCCTCTATACAATATACGTAAATCAAGTACTAAAAACAATCAGTGCAAAGTAACACTAGGTTATTACTTTTGAAATCAAGGAAATCGATATATCATAATACATATGTATACTGGCCTAATACATCCGGCATGTCAATGTGCACATGGTACATGACAATATACAGAATGTTATATGCAGCAATGCATAGAACTTAATAATAGATACTTATAAACATATTTTATGAAACATTACATGAGGCTATTCTGCCTTATTCTATACTAGGGTATAAACACATCATACTTGGTGTATGTGGAGTCACAACACAAACACTAAACAATATATATGCAACGTCATATACCTCATTTGAACTCCAGACTTTCCTTATCAGATCAGTACTGTTCTTCACATTTGAAGTAGACAATGTACTCATTGACAGTCATCAGTCACTTGTCTGATATTATCATTGTAACCAATTACAGTCATTACTCAATTGTCTGATATCGTCATAGTACCCAATGACAGTCACCGCCCACTTGTCAAATATCGTCATTGTACTCAATGACAGTCACCGCCCACTTGTCAAATATCGTCATTGTACTCAATGACAGTCACCGCCCACTTGTCAAATATCGTCATAGTACTCAATGACAGTCACCGCCCACTTGTCAAATATCGTCATTGTACTCAATGACAGTCACCGCCCACTTGTCAAATATCGTCATTGTACTCAATGACAGTCACCGCCCACTTGTGTAACACCGTCATTGTACTCAATGACAGTTATCCCTCACTTATCTAATACTATTTACGCTTGAAACTGTGTGGATGTTTCTTAACTTTCTTAAGGTGTACTATTGTCACACCTGCCAACAGTACACGAGGTGGAGCTGGTCCTCTCTCCACCTGCCAACAGTACACGAGGTGGAGCTGGTCCTCACTCCACCTGCCAACAGTACACGAGGCGGAGCTGGTCCTCACTCCACCTGCCAACAGTACACGAGGTGGAGCTGGTCCTCACTCCACCTGCCAACAGTACACAAGGCGGAGCTGGTCCTCACTCCACCTGCCAACAGTACACGAGGCGGAGCTGGTTCTCACTCCACTTGGTCGTGTCCTCCACAGGCGACTGAGGTGACCAGAGACCACGAGTGGATCACCAGAGAGGCCGTCCGACGCAACATCCGTGACTTCTTCTTGGCCTATCCACCTGGGGGTCGACCCGACTTCTTGCTGCCGGCCGACGCCACGCTGACCGAGCTCTTCCACACCTACTACGGGGAGACTGCCTCTCCGACTCGCTTCATCAAGGCTGTCAACTCCATCGTTGCCGCCAATGTCCAGGCCGATTCCTTGCCTCAGTACAGGTATATTTCTCCAAATGCACCACATTAGCTTGTGTCAATGGTATACCTCGTGAGGTACACCACCAGGTGTACCCCACGAGGTGAATATACTCCGAGTTTACTTTAGTCCTGAACTAGGTTTAGGATTCGAGTATACTTGCTGATTGGTCAAAAACCTATTGAGGTGGACTTAATAATACTCTACTGGATGATAAGCCTTAAGCCCAGCAGCAAAATAAGATCTGGTTGTCCATACTGTATCATAATACCCTGGCTGGTTCTTGACCTAAGTATAGCCATCTTCCATTGTTCTATTGTCTAATCATATTAAACTCTGTGGCAAATCTTCGCCGTCAACGTCCAGCCAATTCCTTCCTTCCAGCAGCTGTCTGCAAATCACTGTCCGACTTCGTCTCTTTACGTATACGATATCGTCCCCAGCAGCAGTCACGTCGTCAGTTTATCTGTGGGTGGAGCTGCTGGCTCACTCCCCACCTCCCTGAGCACGACTCCTGCCTTACAGGTTCGACCCGGCCATCCATGGTGACGGAGAGAGACTGAGCGAGGTGCAGGCCAAGCTGGTCACAAGGTACCCCCAGATCCTGACGGCCATCTTGCGGGACGAGGCTTATCCTGCCGCCCGTAGCCTCCTCGGGACCTCCCTTCACTCTATCCAAAAGTTCTATGCCCACTCCACCTGGATAGAGCAGGGACACGACACTATCCTGGAGGCGTTGGGTATACCTGGTAACGAAATGGAAGGACTGGCTAACGATGCAGAGGATGTGTGTACCTCGTGCTCCTCAGCAGAGGTACTGTACCCCTTTATGTAATAATAATAATAATAATAATAATAATAAACTTATTCACAAGACGGTACAATGGGGTTGGTGAGATTACATAAGATTGGTATTTTTACATTTAAGCAACGCCACTGACACACAGATTAAGGACCTGCTCGAAACACTATAACATATCAGGCAAGATGAAAGGGCACATTGTAACAAGGTTTTTACATCAACAAATAACAAAAATATAAATTGATAGAGGTGATTACACTGGTGAAGATATATGTCTTAAGTACTTATTACAGTACAATGTAAATCTTTTAATACGGCAGACACAGTACCCTCTGTATTACAGCAGCACTTACACTATCACCTGTACTACAGCAGTACTGTGTCCCCTGTACTTCAGCAGACTCTACATCCCCTGTACTACAGAAGTACTGTGTCTCCTGTACTTCAGCAGACAATGTATCCATAGTACTATAGCAGATACTGTATCTCCTTTACTTCTGCAGATACTGTGTCCATAGTACTACAGTACTGTGTACCCCTGTACTACAGCAGACACTGTGCCTCCTGTACTACACTAGACACTGTACCCTTGTCATACAGCAGAGACTGTGTTCCTAGTACTTAATCACACACTGTCCCCTCCTATACTGCAGCAAAACACTATGCCCCTTGTACTACAGCAGACACTGCCCCCCTGTACTACAGCAGACACTGCCCCCCTGTACTACAGCAGACACTGCCCCCCTGTACTGCAGCAGACACTGTGCCCCTCTACTACAGCACACTGTACTCTTCGTACAAGAGCACAACGATACTTTACCCCCAGAACCACACAGGTGTTATGCTGTCAACATAACCAAACATTTGACTAGCCTCAGGTTTCTAAAATAATGAGAACAAGTTGATCCTCTGGACAACGTGATAGATCGCTGAAGCATCTGTGTGTTAGAGTCCTGCAGAGGGACGCACTAAGCCTGCTGATGTTGCAGGGCTGCTCGGGGAACGTGATAGCAGGAGCTGGCCTCAGCAGTGGCTACTACGTCTACCCTGAAGATTCGGCTTCCAGCTACCTCGTGCCCAAACCAGAAACGGGTAAGTTGGCTAAGATGTTGCTACCTGTCACAGACAAGGTGGCCCCGTTGTTGCTACCACCCGCAGTAAGCTGGCTTAGGTGTGGCAAAGCTTTGAATAGTGCAGGAGAAAATTTGTGGAGCAGGATGGGGATCGTACCAGCACCGTGGTCACCCCAGATGCACACTTAACCATGGACCACGATATGGTAAAGGTTACACAACCTTAAAGTCCATCTGGAGGCACAGTCTCACCAGGTGCGCACACCACACATAAACATGTGTACCGACATAACTTACACAGTGGACCTGAAAAAGGTACAAAAGCTTTTATTTTCAATAAATAGCAATTGATTTGTATAGTTGTATGCCAAGCCAACAAATAGAGAAGCACTGAGTGCGCAGACGGGTTGTGTTATGTAGGCTACACAAACACACAAACATTTATAGTAAAACACAGTAAATACAATTCTAGTAATATTAAACAAACCATTTAAGTATGAACCATTTCACTGCATTAAAACCTGTTAAAATACAACATATTTCTAAACCGGGCATTATGAAGCAATAGATTATAAGAGCAGACAATTGGGTATTGCAGGAGGCAAGTGTAGCCACGGCGGGGTGCTGGACGACAGCCGCAGCCAGCCAGCCGTCGGGGGCGTCAATAAGGACACTTCATACCCTTGCTTCTCTCCTCACTACCACCTCCACCTCGAAGCCGTCCAACTCGCTCTCCAGGTCAGTAACCAAACATCTAAGACAAATATCTTAAGTTGTGGGATGGGTGCGGGGGGGGGGGGACCTTGATATAAGCCTAACGTTTATGAATACAATCTGGCTTCCTGTCCCCCGACACAATGAATTATTATTTTTAAATCCGATAAAAGTTGAACAGTATGCCTTCGGATTACTCCCAGAGTTGAGGGCTATGAGTGACGAGGAAACACTGCAAGAACTAACCGTAATTACATTAGAAAAGTGGCAGATGTGATCACCACATACAAAATTCTTAGGTGAATAGACAAGGGCAGTATTTAGTACGAGTTTAAAACGAACAAGAGGAAGAGGCCACAGTTGTGAATATTGTCATAGTTGCGAATGTTATAAATCCATGAGGGCCGTGATGAGGGTTCGAATCTATGCACGGGATGTTCCCAGATGCATAGATTCGAGTGCTACTGCCCCTCACTAGGATATCGAAACTTCTCCGAAACCCAATCGGGCTTTCAGACAATTCCCCGCATGCACCCGGGTTCTGTCAACCAGATGTTTTATCTTTTCGCCCTTATTTCAATACACACAGAAATCACAATAACGTGATATATCAAATGAACAAATCCATATAGGATTTGTTCATTATTCCAATCCCTTGTGGATTTGTTCCAACCCCATGTGGATTTATTAATTTGTTCCAATCCCTTGTGGATTTGTTCATCTGATGTATCACGTTATTGTGATTTCTGTGTGTATTGTGAATATTATTAGGTCATAGTATGTTGACCAGACCACACACTAGAAGGTGAAGGGACGACAACGTTTCGGTCCGTCCTGGACCATTCTCAAGTCGATTGTGATGAGGAAGTTGATGCAGGCAATATCTCCTCACCTCTCTCTTGCCTATTTATTGCCTGCATCAACTTCTTAGCCACGCTCCAATTTAGCCACGTTATTGTGACTCATCCCCTGCATCAGGTCATAGTTTTAAATGTTGTCATTGTCACATTAGTGAATGCATTGAAAAAAAAATTGAGTAGTTTTAGACTTCATACACAGCTCCAAGTGTAAGTATAATTGTATTTGTATATAACATAAAGCCACTAAATACGCACAACGTTTCGGCCATAACTTAATGAGCGAAATGTGTATATATGTTTAGGGTAATACCTAAAATGTTAATATGTCATGTTTTCTTTGAAGATTATGGTTATTTAGCCAACTTTACTTATCCTGACACGGGTTAATAGCCCAGCTGCAGTTTCATAAAGTCTTTTTATTATTTAAGTTACTGTTGAACATTCTCTGCTCCTGTAACTCCATTCTCATTGTATTGGAGTCGCCATAACTTCATAGAAAACGGAAATTTGCATCACCTTTAAGGGCCGTCAAACATACATTTAAAATTTTTTTTTTGTCCCCTAACTCCCCTTGCCACTTCGGGGGGGTATAGGGTTTTTATGTAGCTTCGGAGCCCGATCCCCCCAGCCACAGGGCATGGCGAGACGGACCCCTAAGCATACCTAATACCCTAACACACACAAACTAAAATAAACATATATGGCAGATCTCATCACACCCACAAGAGTTAAGATGATACTAATAATACATAATAATAACCTGAAAATAAACAAAAACATTAATGGAAAATTCTTTTGTAGTTGGTTTTTTCTATATGGGACACAGCACACATAGGTAGGGGTGCACAGTATAACATTTAAAAAAGAACAAACAAACGCTGAAGGCCAAAGCAGCAGGCTGCCCAATCGGCAGGGATGATGATTTGACGTCGGCATACATGGAAAACTAGACACAGTGGATGCTCCTAACTAGGCCCCGGAGCGGGAGGGTTATCATGTATGCGCATGGGGTCCCTCCGGTCGCCGCCTTATCTACTCGCGGGCTCTGCCAGGTCATCCACCCTCTTGTGAGACGCCATTAGGAGAAGTGGTACTCCAGATGACGAAACTGCTTAGATAGTTGGCTACCAGCTGACTTGGCTGCGGTTCACCTAAGCGTGACTATAGTTACCCTTATGCACCCTGTGCACGGTGATCCCGGGGCTAGGGAGGCCTGCCCCTTGACGTGGCCTTGGACCATATTCTGTATATAGAATAGGTCCAGGTCAGGGCCTTCACGGAGCAAATCTCGAGGTCGCTCTTGGTGAGACCCATACCTTGTAGACCACGCGCACTCTCCTTGCACCATCCACCTCTCCAATTAAGGGTTATTGAGGAGGCGGATACTGTAGGCTTACCGGTATACTCCCGGACCTTCTGCAGGATCTCGGGGGTGCCGTATTTGTCGCACTTGCTCTGATGTGGACGGGAGAGTGGGAAGTTATCAGCTGAGACCTGGGTGTCTAATATGAAGGCCTCATCACCTTTGCAAGCTATAATATCTGGCTTGCAGAAGGTCCCTCCATCTGGTATACGGACCTCGCGCTCCACCTCAAAGCCTCTTTGCCGCAATCGGCCAGCTACGAACCGGGTGATGTCGTCGTGACGTTTCACCCGAGCCCCGTGTGTCTTATGGCAGGCCTGGGATATGTGGCCCAGGGTTCCTGGTTTCCGACAAGCGTCACAGAGACCAGAAGCCTCGGGTCTACCCCTAGCCGCCCTAGACGGCGTGGCTACAGCGTTTGCCCTAATTTGGACGGCGTGGGCAAAATCTCCTCCGCTTAGCAAACGGGTACCGGACGCGACCCACTTGTGACAGGATGGGACCTCACAAGAGGAAGCGAGGCCGGCGCCGTCGACCATGCTGTACAGTTTTGCCTTCCATCTTCTAGCGCACTCGGTCGTCCTGCTGGATGGCGTTCCAGCGGCCGTGGTCGGGTCTACCCACCGGCGCATTCTCGCTTGGAATGCGGGTAGGAGAGCCGCTGCCACCACCACTGGGTCCGCTGATCCAGTCAGCGCCCCGAGCCGCTTGTTCTTTTGTAGCCGGATCGATGTGGCAAAGTCGGGTATCCCTAGTCCACCGTCCTTGACGTCGGCGTGGATAAAGGCGTTGGGGGTGTCATGGGGCAGCCGCAGCCAGCCACGAGTGGCGTGTCGCAGCCGCCGGTCCAACCTCGCCAGCTCCGTTTTAGCCACGTGTCCGAGGACAAGGCGGTGGTTCATCTTGGGGATTAGGTGGTGCTTCAGTAGGTATAACCTCTGTTGGGGTTTGAGCGGCGCCTTGGTGATGTTGGTCAGGCCGTCCTCAAACAGGGAACCATAGGATAAGCGTCTGCCCCCGGCTCCGATCAGTATCCCTAAGTACTTGTACTCGTCCGCCACACTCATAGTACCGATCGCATCGTCTCCGACATAATATGCCTTCCTGGTGGGGACATGCCATGTCTTTCGATGCGCATCGATCGCTATGCTCAGCGTCCGGCATTTTGCGGCGTTTACTTTGAGACCAGAGCCGCGCAGCGTGCGGCAAATACTGGTTATGAGTGTCTGTAGTCCGGCAGCCGTTTCCGCTGCCACAACCAGGTCGTCGGCGAACGCCAGCGCTGATACCTTTTCGCCGCCCAGACCAACCCCTAGCCCCAGGTCTTTAGCCTTAGTAATTGCCTCATCAATTATTAGGTTGAAAAGAAATGGAGACAGGGGGTCACCCTGTTTCACCCCCCTAGTGATCAGGATGTCCTTCGACTTCTCACCTTGGCTGGTTATAATGGTTGAGGACCTGTCATAGCCCGACATGATATATGTCCTTAAAGGCTTTGGAATGCCTTTACGTTTCATGGCCCGGTGGATGGCCGGATGGGAGACGCTATCGAAAGCCTTCTCCATATCCAGAAACGCCAGGTGCGTGTTGTGTTTAAGCGCACGAGCCTCAGCAAGGAGGGCATCCAGGATCACCAGGTTTTCAGGGCATCCGTCAACGGGGATGAATGCCTTCTGCCGCCTGTCGATCCTGACTGCCTCAGAGAGTCTGCTGCTCAGAATCTTATGGAACAGCCTTACTATCGTTGATGACATCGTTATGGGGCGATAATGGGAAGGAGAGTCTGGGTTAGGTTTCTTAGGTATAAGCACCGTTTTGTTCTTGCGAAACGGATGTGGCAGGGATTCGTTTACCAACCACAGATTAAACAGTTTTGCGAACACTCTGATTGGTATAGCTTTAAGTAAACGTATAGTGATACCGTCTGGGCCAGGAGCAGCACTGCTACTTGCCTTGAGAGCAACAAGGATTTCCTCTGGTGTTATTGGGTTCCCTAGTTGCTGATTAACCGGATCACGGTCGCGAATTGGGCGGCGGTCCGGCGATGTGGGTCTAGAGAATAGTGCTTCCCAGAATGGAAAGAGACGGGCTGGTTCCACCTCCGTGGGGGTAACCTTCCAGTCTCCGGAAAGGACGCGCGCAGCAGCTTTTGAACGATCCTTCTCGTACAGGCTCTGGCACAGAACATACTGTGCCCTTCGTTCCCTCTTACGTCCAATCGGAGGTTGGGTTGGATCGGCACGGTTTGTTGGGGGGGGGGGTCTCTGCCGACGCGCAGGGCGGGGGCGCAGTGCGTGGTCACCAGATCTTTTGGCTGTAGTAACCACCCGAGCATGGCGCTCGAGGATCCTATCCACGTTATGGCCGTTACCACTGACCAGGTCAGTGATTGCCTCGTCGAGGAGTTCCTCCCCCCATCCGGTTTCCTGGCCCCTGGGTGCGATAGCTGCAAGGAATTCGACCATAGTTTCCTTCCAAGCAGCTTCCAGGGGGGTCCCGTCAGGGGGGGGCATGTCGGGATCGGCTCCGTCGGGGGCGCCCACCGCCGCCCTAACGTTACCTCTCCGTCCACGGTTCCTCAACGGGCTAGGCTGTTCGTCCTCCCTGTCTGAGTTAGACAGTGATGACTCTGAGCCCTCGCCCTCCGCTCGGTTTCTGTATTCCGCCACCAACTCTCTGTACTCGGGCCTCTTCCTTTGGCTCTTAATGGGAACGAACCCGACTGTACTACCGGGACCCCTTGCAACTCTACATGATTTCTATAGTTGCCGCCAGCTACGGCTATTTTACTGGACACCCCATACTCCTCCTGTGAGTGGAAGTTTACTGGACACCCCATACTCCTCCTGTGAGTGGAAGTTTACTGGACACCCCATACTCCTCCTGTGAGTGGAAGTTTACTGGACACCCCATACTCCTCCTGTGAGTGGAAGTTTACTGGACACCCCATAGTCGTCCTGTGAACGGCAGCACAAAATAACAATTGGGGGCACTAAAGATTTTAATCAAACCCAATGGATGTTGTTTTACATTGGCTTTTATAATTCCCCTGTACATTATATTTAAAAAGAGTTACTAATAAATTAATGTACACTGCAACGGTTATGTATGACAATATATTATTACCCACTGGAGTTTAGTGTTTCACATAATTATAACCACATGATAAGGGTTAAGCAAATGCAAGTCACTGATTTTATCTCTCTCTCTCTCTCTCTCTCTCTCTCTCTCTCTCTCTCTCTCTCTCTCTCTATATATATATATATATATATATATTTCATATATATAGTCCTGGGGACCATTCAGGCTTGTTCGTATATATATATATATATATATATATATATATATATATATATATATATATATATATATATATATATATATATATATATATATATATATTTTTTATATCTATTATGTCCTGGTAATAGAGTAGAGTTCGTTTTCGACTCACAATCTGGAATTTCGGGTACGAATCTCGGGCGGGACAGAAATAGGTGGGCAAGTTTCCTATCATGTCATGTTCACTTAGCAGTAAATAGGTATCCAGGAGTTAATCAGCTTCTTATACTCACCTAGTTGTGCTTGCGGGGATAGAGCTCTGGCTCTTTGGTCCCGCCTCTCAAGTGTTAATCAACAGGTGTACAGATTCCTGAGCCTACTGGGCTCTATCATATCTACATATAAAACTGTGTATGGAGTCTGCCTCCACCACATCACTGCCTAATGCATTTTATCTGTTAACTACTCTGACACTGAAAAAGCTCTTTCTAACGTCCATGTGGTATATTTGGGTACTCAGTCTCCACCTGTCTCTCCCTTGTTCCACCCGTGTTAAACAGTTTATCTTTATCTACCCCTATCAATTCCTCTGAGAATTTTGTAGGTAGAGATCATGTCTACCCTAACACTTGTGTCTTCTAATGTCGTGAGGTCCAGTTCCAGAAATCCTTCCACATAGCTAATTCCTTTCAGCTTGGGGACTAGTCTGGTGGTATACCTCTGAACCTTTTCTAACTTCGTTTTGTGTTTGACTAGATGTGGACTCCACGCTGGAGCTGCATATTCCAGTATTGATCTGACATATGCAGTATACTAGGTTCTGAATGATTCCTTACAAAAGTTTCTGAAGGCAGTTCTTATGTTCGCCAGCCCTGCATACACCGCTGATGTTATCCTTTTGATATGGGTTTCAGGGGACAGGTCTGTTGTGATATCAATCCCCAAATCTTTCTTTTGTCCTGACTTCTGAAGGATTTGCTCTCCCAGATTGTACCTAGTGTTTGGCCTCCACCTCTCTATGCCTATCTTAATCACTTTGCACTTACTCGAATTAAACTCTAGTAGCCATTTGTTGGACCATTCCTTCAGTCTGTCCCAGGTCATCCTGTAGCCTCTTGCTGTCCTGTCTTAATCCTTCTCATAATTTAAGCATCATCAGCAAACATGAGAGGAGTGAGTCTATACCTTCTGGAATATCATTCAGATATATCAGAAACAGGATAGGTTTGAGTACAGAACACCTGCGGGACCCCGCTGTTGACATCACGCCAGTCTGAGATCTCACCCCTCACAGTAACTTCTCTGTTTCCTGTTGTGTAGGTACTCCCTTATCCATTGGAACACCCTACCACTTATTCCAGCTTGTTTCTCTAACTTGTGCAACAGTCTATTATGGGGTACTGTGTCAAAAGCTGTCTGACAGTCCAAGAAAATGCAGTCTGCCCATCTTTAACTTTCTTTCTTAATGCTTGGTCATAGAATTTTATTAAACTTGTGATACACGACTTGCCTTCCCTGAACCCGTGCTAGTGACGTGTTACAAAGTCCCTTCTCTCCAGATGTGCTACCAGGCTTTTTCTCATTATCGTCTCAATCACCTTGCATGGCACACAAGTTAAGGACACCGGCCTGTAGTTTAGGGCTTTCTGCCTATCCCCTTTTTTGTAGATTAAGGCTACGTTAGCTGTCTTCCAACTCTCTGGTAGGTCTCCCGTTTCCAGTGACTTGTTATAAAGCATAGATAGTGGCACACAAAGTGCTCTGACATTCTCTTATAGCATCCATGGTGAAATTCCATCAGGTCCAACAGCTTTAGTCGTTTCTAGATCAAGTAGATACCTCCTAATCCCATCTCTTCCAAGTCTTTTTCGGTTATTGCCACCTCTTCTTAGTTCAGGGATTTCTTCTTGGTCTATTGTGAAGACCTAGAATCTCGTGTTGAATTCTTTACACATCTTGTCATTCTCTGTGTACCCATCCTCTGCCTTTTTCAGTTTCATCACCTATTCTTTCACTGCTGTTTTCCTCCTGATGTGGCTGCACAGCAGTTTAGGTTGGGTCTTTGCTTTATGTGCTGTTATTTTCATTGTCTCTCTGCCTCTTTCCTCACACTTAGGAGAGGGCATTTCTGTCCCTCTGGTATATCCCCTCTGCTGTCTGATGTCCTATTATTTCTGTAGTTCCTCTATACCCTTGTGCTTAGCTGCCCTGCTTCCTTACATGCCTGACTGAACGACGGATTCCACTTTTGCATTTGTTTTTTGGCCAGAAAGGTCCTTTCTTGTGGGGGTTGTATCCTGGGGAAGGGGTCAGCAATTCGACTCTCTAGTGGGACCTCGATATAAGCCTAACACGCAAATATATTTTGGTTGCGTGTCCACCGAAACATTGAATTTTCAGCATTATAACTGTACAAAACCAAAAGAAGTGAGAGGACACCAAATCTCATGTTTACATGCTCGTAGGGTCCGGGGTGGTCGGTTGTCTTCCTTTAGCAATTATGCCATTTTGTTTTATATCCACCATGTTCTAAGGGGAAATGAAGTGTTTTCTTATTTATATTATATACAAGTCCTTACATTCTTCTAAAGCCACTAGCGCGCACAGCGCTTCGATCAGGTCTTTAATCCTCATTTTCCCTGGAATACGACCCGTCAAATCGTTTAAAAGTAAGGTACCAATTCACTGCTGATCACCTAATCAATCCTCCTCGGGCAAGATACGAACCCAGGTTAAATCGCTTGCGAAGTACCGGGCTAGTGTTTTACCACTGCGCCACAGGGACTGTTTTATTATAGAGGCAAGTTATATCTGTAATACTTAAACATTTTTCAATGTTGAATTTTATAAAGTAACAGAAATATTTTCATACCGAAAGCGTCCTTACACCGCCACGCTGCAAGCGTCCGTACACCGCCACGCTGCAAGCGTCCGTACACCGCCACGCTGCAAGCGTCCGTACACCGCCACGCTGCAAGCGTCCTTACACCGCCACGCTGCAAGCGTCCGTAAACCGCCACGCTGCAAGCGTCCGTAAACTGCCACGCTGCAAGCGTCCTTACACCGCCACGCTGCAAGCGTCCGTAAACCGCCACGCTGCAAGCGTCCGTACACCGCCACGCTGCAAGCGTCCGTACACCGCCACGCTGCAAGCGTCCGTACACCGCCACGCTGCAAGCGTCCGTACACCGCCACGCTGCAAGCGTCCTTACACCGCCACGCTGCAAGCGTCCGTAAACCGCCACGCTGCAAGTGTCCGTACACCGCCACGCTGCAAACGTCCTTACACTGCCACGCTGCAAGCGTCCTTACACCGCCACGCTGCAAGCGTCCGTAAACCGCCACGCTGCAAGCGTCCGTAAACCGCCACGCTGCAAGCGTCCGTAAACCGCCACGCTGCAAGCGTCCTTACACCGCCACGCTGCAAGCGTCCGTAAACCGCCACGCTGCAAACGTCCTTACACCGCCACGCTGCAAGCGTCCGTACACCGCCACGCTGGAAGCGTCCTTACACTGCCACGCTGCAAGCGTCCTTACACCGCCACGCTGCAAGCGTCCGTAAACCGCCACGCTGCAAGCGTCCGTACACCGCCACGCTGCAAGCGTCCGTACACCGCCACGCTGCAAGCGTCCGTACACCGCCACGCTGCAAGCGTCCGTACACCGCCACGCTGCAAGCGTCCGTACACCGCCACGCTGCAAGCGTCCGTACACCGCCACGCTGCAAGCGTCCGTACACCGCCACGCTGCAAGCATCCGTACACCGCCACGCTGCAAGCGTCCGTACACCGCCACGCTGCAAGCGTCCGTACACCGCCACGCTGCAAGCGTCCGTACACCGCCACGCTGCAAGCGTCCGTACACCGCCACGCTGCAAGCGTCCGTACACCGCCACGCTGCAAGAGTCTGTACACCACCACAAATGGTCATGCAGTACTACATTGTAAGCAGTCATACACATAAATGTGAACATTGCTAGAGTTCAAACAGGCATACACAGCACCAGGGGTACATTCATCAAACTAACCCCAGCTGTCATTTCCCTTCCTGCAGGCTACGGACTACTACCTGAAGCAGGTTCTGCAGGCTGTGGGGGCCGACATGTACCGTCGCCTCTTCGACCTGTACCAAGGCTCGGCGCTCTCTATATGTATCGACACTACAGGTTAGTTACGACGGGTAGGGAAAGGGAGTAGTTCTCCCCACACCCCCCTCCCATACCATCGGCACTACAGCTAGGTCATATAAGACTTAACATTGAAAACACTACCGATGTTTATAAAGGCGATGACCTTTATAATATCTCCTGACAATAAATTGTTCATTATAATTATTCTTGGTCCCCGAAAACATACCCCTAATGTTGCCTTGCTTCTCTAGAGCAGAAAGTCCTATCTATATATATAATGGACCTGTGTATCACCAGAAACTAATATTTTACCATTACGTATCCATCAATACATCAATGGTAACATATTCATCATCATCACATGAACTGTTACTTATGAGTGAGTGTGTTGCAGGATCAATGGGCGACGACATTGCAGCCGTGCAGGATCAGGTCGCTCAGATCGTGGCCAACTCTAACCCTGAAATATACGTCCTGGCACCTTACAATGACCCGAGTAAGTTTATCTAGATCACCTTGTCAGTAAGAGCGTGTCCATCAGTGTAGAAGCGTGTCCATCAGTGTAGAAGCGTGTCCATCAGTGTAGAAGCGTGTCTATCAGTGTAGGAGTGTGTCCATCAGTGTAGAAGCGTGTCCATCAGTGTAGAAGCGTGTCTATCAGTGTAGGAGTGTGTCCATCAGTGTAGGAGCATGTCCATCAGTGTAAGAGCGTGTCCATCAGTGTAGGAGCGTGTCCATCAGTGTAGGAGCGTGTCCAGTGTAGGAGCGTGTCCATCAGTGAAGGAGCGTGTCCAGCAGTGTAGAAGCGAGTCTATCAGTGTAGGAGTGTGTCCATCAGTGTAGGAGTGTGTCCATCAGTGTAGGAGCGTGTCTATCAGTGTGTCCGTCAGTGTAGAAGCGTGTCCATCAGTGTAGAAGCGAGTCTATCAGTGTAGGAGTGTGTCCATCAGTGTAGGAGCGTGTCCAGTGTAGGAGCGTGTCCAGCAGTGTAATAGCGTGTCCAGTGTAGGAGCGTGTCTATCAGTGTGTCCGTCAGTGTAGGAGCGCGTCCATTAGTGTAGGAGTGTGTCCATCAGAGTAGGAGTGTGTCCATCAGTGTAGGAGTGTGTCCATCAGTGTAGTAGTGTGTCCATCAGTGTAGGGGTGTGTCCATCAGTGTAGGAGTGTGTCCATCAGTGTAAAGGTGTCCATCAGTGTAGGTGTGCGTCCATCAGAGTAGGAGTGTGTCCATCAGTGTAGGAGTGTGTCCATCAGTGTAGGAGTGTGTCCATCAGTGTAGGAGTGTGTTCATTAGTGTAAAGGTGTGTCCATCAGTGTAGGAGTGTGTCCATCAGAGTAGGAGTGTGTCCATCAGTGTAGGAGTGTGTCCATCAGAGTAGGAGTGTATCCATCAGTGTAGGAGTGTGGCCATCAGTGTAGGAGTGTGGCCATCAGTGTAGGAGTGTGGCCATCAGTGTAGGAGTGTGACCATCAGTGTAGGAGTGTGGCCATCTGTGTAGGAGCGTGTCCATCAGTGTAAGAGTGTGTCCATCAGTGTAGTAGTGTGTCCATCAGTGTAAGAGTGTGGCCATCAGTGTAGGAGTGTATCCATCAAAGTGGGAGTGTGTCCATCAGTGTAGGAGTGTATCCATCAGTGTAGGAGTGTGTCCATCAATGTAGGAGTGTGTCCATCAGAGTAGGAGTGTATCCATCAGTGTAGGAGTGTGGCCATCAGTGTAGGAGTGTATCCATCAGTGTAGGAGTGTGTCCATCAGTGTATTAGTGCGTCCATCAGAGTAGGAGTGTTCATCAGTGTAGGAGTGTGGCCATCAGTGTAGGAGTGTGTCCATCAGTGTATTAGTGCGTCCATCAGAGTAGGAGTGTCCATCAGTGTAGGGGTGTGTCCATCAGTGTATTAGTGCGTCCATCAGAGTAGGAGTGTCCATCAGTGTAGGGGTGTGGCCATCAGTGTAGAAGTGCGTCCATGAAAGTGGGAGTGTGTGTCCAACAGTGTAGGTGTGCGTCCATCAGAGTAGGAGTGTGTCCATCAGTGTAGGAGTGTGGCCATCAGTGTAAGAGTGTATCTATCAGTGTAGGAGTGTGGCCATCGGTGTATTAGTGCGTCCATCAGTGTAAGGTGTGTCCATCAGTATAAGAGTGCGTCCATCAGTGTAGGAGTGTGGCCATCAGTGTAGGAGTGTGGCCATCAGTGTAGGAGTGTGGCCATCAGTGTAGGAGTATGTCATCAATGTAGGAGTGTGTCTATCAGTGTAGGGGTGCGTCCGTCAGTGTCGGAGTGTGTCTATCAGTGTAGGGGTGTGTCCATCAGTGTAAAGGTGTGTCCATCAGTATAGGAGTGCGTCCATCAGTGTAGGAGTGTGACCATCAGTGTAGGAGTGTGGCCATCAGTGTAGGAGTGTGCCCATCAGTGTAGAAGTGTGTCCATCAGTGTAGGAGTGTATCCATCAGTGTAGAAGTGTGGCCATCAGTGTAGGAGTGTGTCCATCAGAGTAGGAGTGTCCATCAGAGAAGGAGTGTCCATCAGTGTAGGAGTGTATCTATCAGTGTAGGAGTGTGTCCATCAGTGTAGGAGTGTGTCCATCAATTTAGGAGTGTATCCATCAGTGTAGGAGTTTGTCCATCAGTGTAGGTGTGGCCATCAGTGTAGGAGTGTGTCCATCAGTGTAGGAGTGTGTCCATCAGTGTAGGAGTGTGTAAATCAGTGTAGGAGTGTGTCCATCAGTGTAGGAGTGCGTCCATCAGTGTAGGAGTGTGTCCATCAGTGTAGGAGTGTGTAAATCAGTGTAGGAGTGTGTCCATCAGTGTAGGAGTGTGTCCATCAGTGTAGGAGTGTGTCCATCAGTGTAGGAGCGTGGTCATCATTGTAGGAGCGTGTCCATCAGTGTAGGAGCGTGTCCATCAGTGTAGGAGTGTGTCCATCAGTGTAGGAGCGTGTCCATCAGTGTAGGAGCGTGTCCATCAGTGTAGGAGTGTGTCCATCAGTGTAGGAGCGTGTCCATCAGTGTAGAAGCGTTGCCATCAGTGTAGGAGTGTGTCCATCAGTGTAGGAGCGTGTCCATCAGTGTAGGAGCGTGTCCATCAGTGTAGGAGTGTGTCCATCAGTGTAGGAGCGTGTCCATCAGTGTAGGAGCGTGTCCATCAGTGTAGGAGTGTGTCCATCAGTGTAGGAGCGTGTCCATCAGTGCAGAAGCGTTGCCATCAGTGTAGGAGTGTGTCCATCAGTGTAGGAGCGTGTCCATCAGTGTAGGAACATGTCCATCTGTGTAGAAGTGTGTCCATCAGTATAGGAACGTGTCCATCAGTGTAGGGGGTTTGTCCATCAGTGTAGGGGGTTTGTCAATCAGTGTAAATGTGTGTCAATCAGTGGAATGTGTCCATCAGTGTAGGGATGTGGCCATCACTGTATGAGTGTGTCCATCAGTGTAGGAGTGTGTCCATCAGTGTAGGAGTGTGTCTATCAGTGTAGGAGTGTGTCTATCAGTGTAGGAGTGTGTCCATCAGTGTGGGAGTGTGTCCATCAGTGTGGCAGTGTATCCATCAGTATAGGGTGCGTGTCCATCAGTATAGGAACATATCTATCAGTATAGGGAGCATGTCCATCAGTGTGGGAGTGTGTCCATCAGTGTGGCAGTGTATCCATCAGTATAGGGTGCGTGTCCATCAGCGTCGGAACGTGTCCATCAGTATAGGAACATATCTATCAGTATAGGGAGCGTGTCCATCAGTGTAGGGCAACGTTTCAATGAGCGTGGGAGAGTGAAGGGAAGGAGAGTAATAATGGTTGTTCCCTACAGGTGTGGGGCCTCTACTGAAGACCGACGACTCTGAGGAGTTCCTGGCCGCCGTCAACGCCCTGACAGCCGGCGGCGGTGGCGACGAGCCTGAGAAGTTCTGGAGCGGCCTCCAGGTTAGATGACTCCTCCACATCACAGTTTTCAACGCCACCTTAGACTCGTATCTTCCTTTCACACATTTCAATGAACTGTGAATATAGTCTGTACATTTGCAAGAACATGGTAAAATACACTTAATGCAACTTATTAATGAATGCACTCGCGAAGAAAATAAGCACACTTCCTTAATCAAAGAGGTAGAAGGATCATAGAGTTAACAGGCACACGCTTGAACACCACACACACTGGCTATCATCAGCAGCAGTTATCAGTAAAGCTGATAACTTCTTGGGTCAGACCACTTCCATTTGCGCTGTCAAAGTAATGCCATTTAGAGAAGTGATCGGACATAGATGTGAAGCCTCGTACTTCTTTATGCTGAGCTCAACCAAGGGGCAAGTTTTATGTTAAGCACAATGACCAATACCATTCGGTCGTAATTTGAGTCTTGCCTTGTTTCAAAAATTTTCTGGCAAGACATTTTGAGAGCAGGTTCGAACATCGAATATTTTTCGAACATGACCATTATGAACTCAACCCATCCTCACATACAAAGATCCAAGTTCGTTAATCTAGCCGCCAAAGCCCATGTTTATGAATAAAAGCAGTTTACACACGACTCACAACTGATGATGTCGGAACACTTCCGGAACAAGTGCTTCACTCACGTCCTCTGTTCGAACCTCAATATTCTATAAATGCTTCACCCACGTACTTCAAATACAAATAATCTCCAATAGATCCTAAAAACCTAACTGTGAGATTCATATTTCTGAGAACTGCAAAATACCTACAGGTTCCGTGTTGGGCTAAAGACGTGACATTTTTACTCAGTAAGAAATAGGCAAGAGCAAATGCCGGAATCCAATTACCTGATATGTCTACCACTAAGTCGTTGACTCCTCAATTGCTTGTAGGAATCTTAAGGGTAGCCAATGGATTCTCACACTAAATTTAAGTATTCAGTGTTTGGGCTATAATTAGGTTCGATCCAAAGAGCCGACACTAGTAAAATTCCCAAGACAAGGTTGTAGCTTGCAGCAGGGCACTCGTAGGGGACAGTACTCTTGAAATATATGACGTAAAGACACGTTTGCATTAACAATTATTCATTCAACAAACTTATTAATACAACACAATAACAGGTTAACGTTACGTTAATGTCCTGAGTTCACTTGACCATTGACTACTCAATTACCAGTGCAGTAGGAAACTATCCCACTGCTCTAGGCTGGTAAAAATCATAAGAACACGTCTCGGACCCTCTTGTTTGGGCAAAGAGCAATAACAGTGAACTAACTGAACAATGGAGACACTCGGACTCAATTACAATCAGCACTTGCAATAGCAAAGCACAACTGGCAAATAACAATAAAAAAAATTGAATATCGAGAATGGGGTTAAAGTCGCGTTAGACGGATATTCCACTGTTGGCCGACAGCTGGAAGGATCACGTCCACACAAGTTAGCGACAGGATACAGAATGCAGGACAGCGTGAGGCGGCCTACCCTGGCGGCTTCACACACTTGTCTTTGTTGTTCTTTGAAAGAACCAATCAGCGGCTAGGCACCTAGTGCCTAACCCACTCAGGGCCTACCCTCGGGTGGCGTGATGCTCGTTACTGGTGGAGGCGTGTGTTGACACAGGTGGTGAGGGGAGGTCCTGATGACGAGAGGTCACCAGATACCCGCCAAGGCAGGGTCAAGTTTCGAAATTAAGAAACTAGACTCGGTGCACTTACTCTGTGCACTCAGTGAGGGTTAAAATGGCGGTGTGTACTCTTCATCACACATTTTAAGATAGCTGTTTATCCATTCCCCTCACACTAACCTGACCTACACCTAACTATACATATCAGTTGTATTTATAATAATATTAATTTATATATTAGAACAAACTAATTTTTAATACACTGTATGTTAATAATTGATGAATGCTTCTGAGGAGGACGGCCGCTGTTTTAAACAGCCTAGTGTGAGGACTGATTGCATAAAACGCAACAATTAGTTATTAGCAAAGATCAGGTAAAGCCAAAACGTTCCATACAGAATAGGTGTATTTACACTAGGTGTATTTACACTAGGTGTATTTACACTAGGTGTATTTACACTAGGTGTATTTACACTAGGTGTATTTACACTAGGTGTATTTACACTAGGTGTATTTACACTAGGTGTATTTACACTAGCCTATATACATGTGTATCATATTAAATGCCAAGCCAAAATTGACGGTGACAAGTTCCACAGAACACGCAACTGAACGTGAAAGACACTTAACAAAGCAAAGTTTCTAGTAACGCCACTACAGTTGATGGGGATGGCTTGGGAAACCTTCCAACACATGAAGCTGGATGGGACAAATTGTTAAGGCTCAACTTAGGGACATTCGGTTCCACATACACAAACTCAACAATACCATTTGAAGTGTAGCTCAACTTTAGTATATGTACTTACTAACTGTCGGCAAGCAGACACCCTCCCCCCCTCCACACACATATTGACATCCACAAGTATGACCACCATAACCTCAGCCCTGACATACCGTTGCTCCTCCAGCTGGCGCTGTCGGCGACTCCAGCGTACGGGGACATCTTCTGCTTCACCGACGCCTCAGCAAAGGACGGAGACCTCATGGAAAGTCTCATCTCCCTCGCCCAGCAGCAAAACAACAAGGTCAGCACCTCGATCATCACCCCTTGTCTTCACTTTTACCTAACATCAACCTCCATTACCTTAATTAACCACATATGAAACCATTACTACCTCCACCCATGTGTCTTACCTATTCAACCTTGCCCTCCAATCACATATTTGCTGCCTTCACTACCACCTTACGGAACATCCGCGCAACCTCAGCTTTCAGTTCCCTCGCTTTTGTATCAGAATTCCTCATATTCCTTTCTTGAATTTATTAAGGATACTAGCTGTACCCGGCCACGCGTTGCTGTGGCTCAGCATCGTTTGGGAGTCGCTGAGCCACAGCAATCCTCCTCTGTCCCCTCGTCCTCCTCACCATTCACCTCCTCCCCCGTCCCATATTCCTCCCAACTGAACCGTCCTCGTCCTCCCCACCATTACCCCTTCCCCCGTCCTCCCCACTATTCCCCCCTCCCCTGTCCCCTCATCCTCCCCACCAACCCCCACTCCCCCCGTCCCTTCGTCCTCCCCATCATTCCCCCCTTCCCTCGTCCTCTCCAATATCTCCCACTCACCCGTTCTTTCATCCTCTCCACCATTCCCCACTCCCCCGTCCCCTCCTCTTTCCCACTCCCCCGTCCCCTCCTCTTCCCCACTCCCCCGTCCCCTCGTCTTCCCCACTGCCCCGTCCCCTCCTCTTCCCCACTCCCCCGTCCCCTCCTCTTCCCCACTCCCCCCATCTACTCGTCTTCCCCACTCCCCCGTCTCCTTGTCGTACCCACCATTCCCTCAGCTTTCCCACCAAACCCCCACTTCCCCATCGCCTCGTTCTTCCCACCATTCCTAACTCCCCCGTCTGATGCATTTCCAAATGATCTGATGTTCCCATCAGAAAAATGGGAATACGAAATGATCTGATGTTCCCATCACTGAAAAATAAGAACAGTTAATAAAACAAAGTAAAAAACAATGAAAAGATAAAAAAAAATAAACGATACTCACGAAATGAACGATATGGTAAATGACACATCTCAATACCAATGCAATGTCACACAAAATAATTTCATCAACATGAAAATAAATCGAACTCTATGAAAATTCAATTTAACAATGCAATGTAAATGTTCGTTTTGTTCAAAACGAACAATTACATCTAAATGAAAATAAATCAAAGTCTATGAAAATTCAATTTAACAATGCAATCGGAAACACTGAAATAGAATCACAAAATATTTAGTATAGCGTGTGTTACTTTTACGTGCATCAGATGGCGCTGTTTTTAAAAAATAGCACGTTTTTACCTGTCACAGGTGTGGTATGTATATAGTAGGTATATAAAAATATGCGCGTATTCGAATACAACGTTGAGTCCAAATTTCAAAGCAATTGGTGAAGAACTTTCGAAGATTACAGTGTGTGTTGTTTTTACGTCCAACAGATGGCCAGTTAAAAAAAAAGCATGTTTTTACCTGTCACATGTGTAGTATGTATATAGCAGGTATATCAAACATGCACATACTCGAATGCAACGTTGCGTCAAAATTTCAAAGCAATCGGTAAAGAGGTTTTGGAGATTTCCCTGGGATGAAAACTCACATGAGAAACACAGTTGAAAAAAAAATGTTTTTACCTGTCACAGACGTGACGTCTATATAGTAGGTATAAAAAATCATGCGCGTATTCGAATGAATGTCGTGTGAAATTTTCAAAGCAATCGGTGAAGAACTTTCGGAGATTAGCGATTTTGAACAAAACGAACATTTACATTTTTATTTATATAGATTTAATATTTTCTGGCTGTCAGTATTTTCTTGCAAAGGACAGTATAATAGTTGTAATTTCAAGGAAAGGCAGTATATGTCCCTATAATTGAGAAGATATGTCTGTCGTCTGTCCAAGACGTTTGGGGCTAGTCTTACGGGGTGAGGCAAGCCCAAGCCATGGTCACCTCCCTCATTGGTCAGAGATATCCTTGAAAGCTAAAGCTTCAATATTTGTATTAAACAATACCATTTCTTCCAATAAAATTAGTAGCATCATCACTATTAATTGCTTTACAATTTCACCAGTCAATTATATTGTCCAACTACACATTTATTCAGCACAATGAATATGACTGATCCTGTTGTTGTATGTTAAACACAGTCAGTTTTGTCAAATTTCCTCTTAACATATATTTGTAAATGTTAAGGTATAATATTTATTATCTCGCGGCCAAGTGATAAGCATCTCGCGGCCCAGTGCTGGGTCGTGACCCAAACGTTGAAGTGAGGGCGCCTGATAGTTGAGTGGACAGGGCTTCGGATTCGTAGTCCTGAGGTTCCGGGTTCGATCCCCGGTGGAGGCGGAAACAAATGGGCAAAAAGTTTCTTTCACCTTAATGCCTCTGTTACCAAGCAGTAAATAGGTACCTGGGATTTAGACAGCTGCTACAGGCTGCTTCCTGGGGTGTGTATAACAAAAAGGAAGCCTGGTCGAGAACCGGGCCGCGGGAACGCTAAGCCCCGAAATCATCTCAAGATAACCTCAAGAAGATAACTAACCCTGTTTGATCCACGAGTCTCACAGACAGGTCGGGGCTGACCCGGGGCTCCCAACACTTACATGCCACAAAGTTTAGGGATCGACCCGGGCACCGCAGGATACCCCCATCTATTTTACTATTCACTAACCATAGAAGAACTATTGTATTTGTTAATAAGATCAAACATTAATTTTCCTGACGCCGCGTTTCTTATTAAGTCGAGAGTTTGATGGCGGGGTTTGTAGATGTTGGTATTTTGTCAAGAACATTACTCGTTGTAAGGACGAAATTGTATATAATAGTATTTGTTAGTTATAGTGAGGCTGCTGGCAGGAAAAGTGCTTGATAGAACATTACTTGCTTTATTATACAACACCATTATTGATGCCACGTGGACTGAACAGAATAATAACACGTGAACAACAGAAGTGTGGAGAGTACAGACGCTGGTCACCAACACTGGAGAGTACAGACGCTGGTCACACCAACACTGGAGAGTACAGACGCTGGTCACCAACACTGGAGAGTACAGACGCTGGTCACACCAACACTGGAGAGTACAGACGCTGGTCACCAACACTGGAGAGTACAGACGCTGGTCACACCAACACTGGAGAGTACAGACGCTGGTCACCAACACTGGAGAGTACAGACGCTGGTCACACAAACACTGGAGAGTAGAGACGCTGGTCACACAAACACTGGAGAGTACAGACGCTGGTCACACAAACACTGGAGAGTACAGACGCTGGTCACACAAACACTGGAGAGTACAGACGCTGGTCACACAAACACTGGAGAGTACAGACGCTGATCACAAACACTGGAGAGTACAGACGCTGGTCACAAACACTGGAGAGTACAGACGCTGGTCACACCAACACTGGAGAGTACAGACGCTGGTCACACCAACACTGGAGAGTACAGACGCTGGTCACAAACACTGGAGAGTACAGACGCTGGTCACAAACACTGGAGAGTACAGACGCTGGTCACAAACACTGGAGAGTACAGACGCTGGTCACACAAACACTGGAGAGTACAGACACTGGTCACACAAACACTGGAGAGTACAGACACTGGTCACACAAACACTGGAGAGTACAGACACTGGTCACACAAACACTGGAGAGTACAGACGCTGGTCACAAACACTGGAGAGTACAGACGCTGGTCACAAACACTGGAGAGTACAGACACTGGTCACACAAACACTGGAGAGTACAGACGCTGGTCACAAACACTGGAGAGTACAGACGCTGGTCACAAACACTGGAGAGTACAGACGCTGGTCACAAACACTGGAGAGTACAGACGCTGGTCACACAAACACTGGAGAGTACAGACACTGGTCACACAAACACTGGAGAGTACAGACGTTGGTCACACAAACACTGGAGAGTACAGACGCTGGTCACAAACACTGGAGAGTACAGACGCTGGTCACACAAACACTGGAGAGTACAGACGCTGGTCACACAAACACTGGAGAGTACAGACACTGGTCACACAAACACTGGAGAGTACAGACGCTGGTCACACCAACACTGGGGAGTACAGACGCTGGTCACACCAACACTGGAGAGTACAGACGCTGGTCACACAAACACTGGGGAGTACAGACGCTGGTCACACCAACACTGGGGAGTACAGACGCTGGTCACACCAACACTGGAGAGTACAGACACTGGTCACACAAACACTGGGGAGTACAGACGCTGGTCACACCAACACTGGAGAGTACAGACGCTGGTCACAAACACTGGAGAGTACAGACGCTGGTCACACCAACACTGGAGAGTACAGACGCTGGTCACACCAACACTGGAGAGTACAGACGCTGGTCACAAACACTGGAGAGTACAGACGCTGGTCACAAACACTGGGGAGTACAGACACTGGTCACACCAACACTGGGGAGTACAGACGCTGGTCACACAAACACTGGGGAGTACAGACGCTGGTCACAAACACTGGAGAGTACAGACGCTGGTCACAAACACTGGGGAGTACAGACACTGGTCACACCAACACTGGGGAGTACAGACGCTGGTCACACAAACACTGGGGAGTACAGACGCTGGTCACAAACACTGGAGAGAACAGACGCTGGTCACAAACACTGGAGAGTACAGACGCTGGTCACACCAACACTGGGGAGTACAGACGCTGGTCACAAACACTGGAGAGTACAGACGCTGGTCACACCAACACTGGGGAGTACAGACGCTGGTCACACAAACACTGGAGAGTACAGACGCTGGTCACAAACACTGGAGAGTACAGACGCTGGTCACACCAACACTGGGGAGTACAGACGCTGGTCACACCAACACTGGAGAGTACAGACGCTGGTCACACAAACACTGGGGAGTACAGACGCTGGTCACACCAACACTGGGGAGTACAGACGCTGGTCACACCAACACTGGAGAGTACAGACACTGGTCACACAAACACTGGGGAGTACAGACGCTGGTCACACCAACACTGGAGAGTACAGACGCTGGTCACAAACACTGGAGAGTACAGACGCTGGTCACAAACACTGGGGAGTACAGACACTGGTCACACCAACACTGGGGAGTACAGACGCTGGTCACACAAACACTGGGGAGTACAGACGCTGGTCACAAACACTGGAGAGTACAGACGCTGGTCACAAACACTGGGGAGTACAGACACTGGTCACACCAACACTGGGGAGTACAGACGCTGGTCACACAAACACTGGGGAGTACAGACGCTGGTCACAAACACTGGAGAGTACAGACGCTGGTCACAAACACTGGAGAGTACAGACGCTGGTCACACCAACACTGGGGAGTACAGACGCTGGTCACAAACACTGGAGAGTACAGACGCTGGTCACACCAACACTGGGGAGTACAGACGCTGGTCACACAAACACTGGAGAGTACAGACGCTGGTCACAAACACTGGAGAGTACAGACGCTGGTCACACCAACACTGGGGAGTACAGACGCTGGTCACACAAACACTGGGGAGTACAGACGCTGGTCACAAACACTGGAGAGTACAGACGCTGGTCACAAACACTGGAGAGTACAGACGCTGGTCACACAAACACTGGGGAGTACAGACGCTGGTCACACCAACACTGGAGAGTACAGACGCTGGTCACAAACACTGGAGAGTACAGACGCTGGTCACAAACACTGGAGAGTACAGACGCTGGTCACACCAACACTGGAGAGTACAGACGCTGATCACACAAACACTGGAGAGTACAGACGCTGGTCACACCAGCACTGGAGAGTACAGACGCTGGTCACACCAACACTGGAGAGTACAGACGCTGGTCACACCAACACTGGAGAGTACAGACGCTGGTCACACAAACACTGGAGAGTACAGACGCTGGTCACAAACACTGGGGAGTACAGACGCTGGTCACAAACACTGGAGAGTACAGACGCTGGTCACACAAACACTGGGGAGTACAGACGCTGGTCACACCAACACTGGGGAGTACAGACGCTGGTCACACAAACACTGGGGAGTACAGACGCTGGTCACACCAACACTGGAGAGTACAGACGCTGGTCACAAACACTGGAGAGTACAGACGCTGGTCACACAAACACTGGAGAGTACAGACGCTGGTCACAAACACTGGAGAGTACAGACGCTGGTCACACCAACACTGGAGAGTACAGACGCTGGTCACACAAACACTGGGGAGTACAGACGCTGGTCACACCAACACTGGGGAGAACAGACGCTGGTCACACCAACACTGGAGAGTACAGACACTGGTCACACAAACACTGGGGAGTACAGATGCTGGTCACACCAACACTGGAGAGTACAGACGCTGGTCACAAACACTGGAGAGTACAGACGCTGGTCACACCAACACTGGAGAGTACAGACGCTGGTCACACCAACACTGGGGAGTACAGACGCTGGTCACACAAACACTGGAGAGTACAGACGCTGGTCACAAACACTGGAGAGTACAGACGCTGGTCACACCAACACTGGGGAGTACAGACGCTGGTCACACAAACACTGGGGAGTACAGACGCTGGTCACAAACACTGGAGAGTACAGACGCTGGTCACAAACACTGGAGAGTACAGACGCTGGTCACACAAACACTGGGGAGTACAGACGCTGGTCACACCAACACTGGAGATTACAGACGCTGGTCACAAACACTGGAGAGTACAGACGCTGGTCACAAACACTGGAGAGTACAGACGCTGGTCACACCAACACTGGAGAGTACAGACGCTGGTCACACCAACACTGGAGAGTACAGACGCTGGTCACACCAACACTGGAGAGTACAGACGCTGGTCACACAAACACTGGGGAGTACAGACGCTGGTCACAAACACTGGAGAGTACAGACGCTGGTCACACAAACACTGGAGAGTACAGACGCTGGTCACAAACACTGGGGAGTACAGACGCTGGTCACAAACACTGGGGAGTACAGACGCTGGTCACAAACACTGGAGAGTACAGACGCTGGTCACACAAACACTGGGGAGTACAGACGCTGGTCACACCAACACTGGGGAGTACAGACGCTGGTCACACAAACACTGGGGAGTACAGACGCTGGTCACACCAACACTGGAGAGTACAGACGCTGGTCACAAACACTGGAGAGTACAGACGCTGGTCACACAAACACTGGAGAGTACAGACGCTGGTCACAAACACTGGAGAGTACAGACGCTGGTCACACAAACACTGGAGAGTACAGACGCTGGTCACAAACACTGGAGAGTACAGACGCTGGTCACAAACACTGGAGAGTACAGACGCTGGTCACAAACACTGGAGAGTACAGACGCTGGTCACACAAACACTGGAGAGTACAGACGCTGGTCACACAAACACTGGAGAGTACAGACGCTGGTCACAAACACTGGAGAGTACAGACGCTGGTCACACAAACACTGGAGAGTACAGACGCTGGTCACAAACACTGGAGAGTACAGACGCTGGTCACAAACACTGGAGAGTACAGACGCTGGTCACACAAACACTGGGGAGTACAGACGCTGGTCACACAAACACTGGAGAGTACAGACGCTGGTCACAAACACTAGAGAGTACAGACGCTGGTCACACAAACACTGGAGAGTACAGACGCTGGTCACACAAACACTGGAGAGTACAGACGCTGGTCACACAAACACTGGAGAGTACAGACGCTGGTCACACCAACACTGGAGAGTACAGACGCTGGTCACACAAACACTGGAGAGTACAGACACTGGTCACACAAACACTGGAGAGTACAGACACTGGTCACACAAACACTGGAGAGTACAGACGCTGGTCACACAAACACTGGGGAGTACAGACGTTGGTCACACAAACACTGGAGAGTACAGACGCTGGTCACACAAACACTGGAGAGTACAGACGCTGGTCACACAAACACTGGAGAGTACAGACGCTGGTCACACCAACACTGGGGAGTACAGACGCTGGTCACACCAACACTGGAGAGTACAGACGCTGGTCACACAAACACTGGAGAGTACAGACACTGGTCACACAAACACTGGAGAGTACAGACACTGGTCACACAAACACTGGAGAGTACAGACGCTGGTCACACAAACACTGGGGAGTACAGACGTTGGTCACACAAACACTGGAGAGTACAGACGCTGGTCACACAAACACTGGGGAGTACAGACGCTGGTCACACAAACACTGGGGAGTACAGACGCTGGTCACACAAACACTGGGGAGTACAGACGTTGGTCACACAAACACTGGAGAGTACAGACACTGGTCACACAAACACTGGAGAGTACAGACACTGGTCACACAAACACTGGAGAGTACAGACGTTGGTCACACAAACACTGGGGAGTACAGACGTTGGTCACACAAACACTGGAGAGTACAGACGCTGGTCACACAAACACTGGAGAGTACAGACGCTGGTCACACAAACACTGGGGAGTACAGACGTTGGTCACACAAACACTAGAGGCCACAGCCACGCCAGATTATTACCGATGGAGTCGATTAGTTCTATGTTTATATTATTGGATTATTATTGTCGATGATGGTAATGACGACTACTTTAATGTTCGTGCACAGCTCGGAGAGACAAGACAAAGATTAAGCACGACTCTCCTACGACCTTCATATCACTCCATTCTCCCATGACCTTACCTGGTTAGGTTTATATATATCATTGTTAAGGCACTCCTACGACTCTTACAGCTTGCTGCCACTCTTCCGGTACCTCACTGACCACGCTCCTGCCACTTGTTAAGCGTAGGTGACACACCAACCTTAACCCCCACTAAGCGTGACAGTGCTTCATACTTGCAAAATTTAGCAAATTTGCAATTCTCGTTGAAAGCTGAAATATATCAGTTTTGAGCGAGTATCTAAAATAAACAATACTGAGGTACATTAATGTAAAGTCTTAATATGGATATAATTGTAAACAAAAAAAAAATCTTCCTTGAGGTTTATGAAGCATTATTTTGTCTGTAAATTTATAGTGGTCGAAGCGTCGAGTGGATGCAATCATGAAGCTGCCATGCATGGTTGTATATCCACTGGAAACTTTGTGGTAATTATCTTGGTTACGTTTGACGCCCCATGTTGCAGGTGACGGTGATCCTGAGTGACATCTACAGGAGGAAGAACACCGGGGAAGACTACGCCCCTGGGGAGCTGGACCGGGAGGAGGAGAGTGACCGCACTAGGGACGTAAACACAGGGGTGGCAGAGTACCAGCGGCTGGCTGATGAGACCGGCGGACTACTCATCAGTACCGACAAGTTCAATGTTGACGATATTGTCAACATCATCGGCGCCGGCATCGAGACCGCCTCGGTAACACCACCTGTTCCTCTGACACCTTTCCAACACTTCTCTTATAACATCAACACCTTACTACACTCTTCCTCTTGACTTGTCAGGGAGTAAACACTCATCTCTTTATAAAGTGTTAAGTAAAATGAGTGGGATGTAGTAGAGCAAGTTGCCGCTAGAGGCGCTGCTCTCGCTGCCGTAGTTATTACATCACATGACTGGTGTTGACACCACAGGCAGAACACTACACCACCCAAACACACGAGACTCACATACTACGGCACTAAACATCAACACCATATATGTGACATTATTTTTCAGAAAGTAAATTGAACTTTATATAAAATCACATATACTTTCAACTGACAAGTAGTCAGAATTTACACTATATAAATATTCTCTACAAAATAATTACCAGTTAAAAGTACCGCAATGAAAATCTATCTTATGTTACCAAAATAACTGAAATATTAACTGTGCAACTCAGCTTGACTAGCTCATGGCGGCATGACCTAACCTAACCCACGACTAATCAGCTGATGGTGTTGCAGCATTGTTGACATTTTCCCTCCCGTTCCTTAACATATCGCTGTGTTCACTGGTTGACAAATCATAAAAAAGTATTTACCATTATCGACCGTATTGTTGCCATTTTTCATTCTAAAGAATTAATTGCTTAATTTACCCTTTTTTTCACTCGAGGAGTCATTAGTGAGTGCGTCGTCACTGACACGCACTTCAAGGCCTTAGAGTGCCCCCCCCCATATCACATACCACCTGAAGACAACTTGGAGTGTTATTGGAGGTAAACTAAGGTGTTCCTGGTTGCAGGTGACCATCTTAAACCTGGTGGAAGTGACCGGCACGGAGGAGAAGTTGGTGCCTGTTGACGACTCCATTGTGGACCTGGAGGTGCGCCTCACTGGCTCCCTAACCTCCGCTATCTTCACTGACGTTACTGGTAAGACCCCACCACCACCACTATCTTCACTGACGTTACTGGTAAGACCCCACCACCACCACCACCACCACTGACGTTACTGGTAAAACCCCACCACTACCACCACCACCACCACTGACGTTACTGGTAAGACCACACCACTACCACCACTGACGTTACTGGTAAGACCACACCACAACCACCACTGACGTTACTGGTAAGACCCCACCACCACCACTATCTTCACTGACGTTACTGGTAAGACCCCACCACCACCACCACCACTGACGTTACTGGTAAAACCCCACCACTACCACCACCACCACCACTGACGTTACTGGTAAGACCACACCACTACCACCACTGACGTTACTGGTAAGACCACACCACTACCACCACTGACGTTACTGGTAAGACCCCACCACCACCACCACCACTGACGTTACTGGTAAGACCCCACCACCACCACCACCACCACCACTGACGTTACTGGTAAGACCCCACCACCACCACCACTGACGTTACTGGTATTACACCACCACCACCACCATCACCTCCACCACTGACGTTACTGGTATTACACCACCACCACCACCACCACTGACGTTACTGGTAAGACCCCACCACCACCACCACCACCACCACCACCACTGACGTTACTGGTATTACACCACCACCACCACCACTGACGTTACTGGTAAGACCCCACCACCACCACCACCACCACCACTGACGTTACTGGTAAGACCCCACCACCACCACCACCACTGACGTTACTGGTAAGACCACACCACTACCACCACTGACGTTACTGGTAAGACCCCACCACCACCACCACTGACGTTACTGGTAAGACCCCACCACCACCACCACCACCACCACTGACGTTACTGGTAAGACCACACCACTACCACCACTGACGTTACTGGTAAGACCCCACCACCACCACCACCACCACCACTGACGTTACTGGTAAGACCCCACCACCACCACCACCACCACCACCACCACTGACGTTACTGGTAAGACCCCACCACCACCACTGACGTTACTGGTAAGACCCCACCACCACCACCACCACCACCACCACCACTGACGTTACTGGTATTACACCACCACCACCACCACCACCACCACCACCACCACTGACGTTACTGGTAAGACCCCACCACCACCACTGACGTTACTGGTATTACACCACCACCACCACCACCACCACCTCCACCACTGACGTTACTGGTATTACACCACCACCACCACCACCACCTCCACCACTGACGTTACTGCTATTACACCACCACCACCACCACCACCTCCACCACTGACGTTACTGGTATTACACCACCACCACCACCACCACCACCTCCACCACTGACGTTACTGGTATTACACCACCACAACCACCACTGACGTTACTGGTATTACACCACCACAACCACCACTGACGTTACTGGTATTACACCACCACCACTGACGTTACTGGTATTACACCACCACAACCACCACTAACGTTACTAGTAAGACACCACCACCACCACCACCACCACCACTGACGTTACTGGTATTACACCACCACCACCACCACTGACGTTACTGGTATTACACCACCACAACCACCACTGACGTTACTGGTATTACACCACCACCACCACCTCTGATGTTACTGGTATTACACCACCACAACCACCACTGACGTTACTGGTATTACACCACCACCACCACCACTGACGTTACTGGTAAGACCCCACCACCACTGACGTTACTGGTATTACACCACCACAACCACCACTGACGTTACTGGTATTACACCACCACAACCACCACTGACGTTACTGGTATTACACCACCACAACCACCACTGACGTTACTGGTATTACACCACCACAACCACCACTGACGTTACTGGTATTACACCACCACCACCACTACTGACGTTACTGGTATTACACCACCACAACCACCACTGACGTTACTGGTATTACACCACCACAACCACCACTGACGTTACTGGTATTACACCACCACAACCACCACTGACGTTACTGGTATTACACCACCACCACCACTACTGACGTTACTGGTATTACACCACCACTGGCAAGAGAAAACACACCTCGACACAACACCACTAGACACAAAGCTGGCAAACATCAAGGTCCTCTTGCAACCTCAACAATGATGGTATTAACACACCACGAACCTCCTACGTGAGACCAGAACTTTAATATGCAGTTTCTAGTATGGAACCCATAATAGAAAATCTCAAATCTAGGAATAATGAGAGATTGGCTACAAAACTGGTCCCAGAACTGAAAGAACTAAACTTTGAGGAAACTCTCACAGACTTCAGTTTCACATCACTAGAGCAGAGAAGTGTGACATGGTCCACTCACAACAGTCTCAAGATCGTGGCCGGGGAGGATTGACTAGGCTCAAATCTTTAACTGTACGCCTTTGTTCATCCAGCAGTGAATGGGTACCTGGTTGATAAACGATTGGCGGGTGGTATTCCAGGGAGCTTATGGGTAAGACTTACCATGAGCTATGGGATGGGAAAGATCTTGGCTGCTACAGAAGTAACAGGAGTTAGCAGTCGTCTGCTCCTGTGCCCTCCTGTGTATAAAAAGAGGTGGGGGGGGGGGCCTTGAAATTACTTAGATGGAGAGTTGAGGAAATGGCCATACACTGCTTCTGGAGTTTGTATTATACAAGGGCAAATATTAGAGACATTGCATCATACAATAGTTGGAGCTTAGTCAGCATTGTGGCACATTTCCCTGTGTTAAGCTTCGGCACAAGGGCTCCAGCAGCTTCCCGGAGGACTGTGACTCACCTGTCACATCCCAGAGAGTGTTGGAGACGAGTGAGCAGCTCTGAGACGACGCCACCCATGTGACTTCATCTCAGGGCGGCGTCCACAACACTTCAGACGGAGTACAGAGCCCACTACACCCAGTGCTCGCTCTATGGTCCTCAAAACTCAGCTGACACTTTACCCTGTGTAGTCGTCACATAACCAGGGAGGCTACGACACCCCGTAAACTGTAGTAAACTTTGTCAAGCTTTGTCAAGCTATCTTGTGACATCATATGCCAGCTGTAGCACCACGGGCTCTACCTTACCCTCACCACTGTCCAGTATAGACGCACTCCAGACTGCGTCAACTGCTACGCCACACATGCTGCGAGTTCCTCTAGCCTTGATACCGTTGCTCACACATGTTACACTCTCAGGGCAAGAAGAACACACACATTACACTCTTGGGGCAGGAAGAACACACACATTACACTCTTGGGGCAGGAAGAACACACACATTACACTCTTGGGGCAAGAAGAACACACACATTACACTCTTGGGGCAGGAAGAACACATTACATTCTAGGGACAGGAAGAACACATATTACACTCTAGGGGCAGGAAGAACACACATTACACTCTCGGGGCTGGAAGAACACATATTACATTCTGGGGCAGGAAGAAGACATATTACACTCTAGGGGCAGGAAGAAGACATATTACACTCTTGGGGCAGGAAGAAGACATATTACACTCTAGGGGCAGGAAGAAGACATATTACACTCTAGGGGCAGGAAGAAGACATATTACACTCTAGGGGCAAGAAGAACACACACATTACACTCTTGGGGCAAGAAGAACACACACACATTACACTCTAAGGGCAGGAAGAAGACAGATACCAACATATGTTGATAATATTTCTTGTGCCGACAGGGATATCCTACGACCTGATGGACAGAGCGTCTCTGGAGGCAACAGGAGTAGTAGAGGTGGTCTCGTACACCACCACCTTCAAGGCGGTACGCTGGCCCACCCCGGTCTACGGCGAATGGACCATCTCCACCGTCGGCGCTGACAGCTACTCTGTCACCGTCCTAGCAACCTCCCCGATCGACTTCCTTGCTGGCTTCTCTGTGCTCGACCCCAACCCTCCACACCCACACTATCAGCCTATTGATGGTCGACCTCTCATGGGTTAGTATCTCTCGTGGCACTGTCTCACCTATACTACCTCACCCCACACCCATACTGCCTCACCCCACACCCCATACTGCCTCACCCCACACCCATACTGCCTCACCCCACACCCATACTGCCTCACCCCACACCCATACTGCCTCACCCCACACCCATACTGCCTCACCCCACACCCATACTGCCTCACCCCACACCCATACTGCCTCACCCCACACCACCACCACCCACATTACCACCTCACTACATATTCTCTCAAAAGAAAATTATATGTTTAATATTATGTTGAGTGGCACCCCTCTCACCTCACCCCTGGCACCCCTCTCACCTCACCCCTGGCACCCCTCTCACCTCACCCCTGGCACCCCTCTCACCTCACCCCTGGCACCCCTCTCACCTCACCCCTGGCACCCCTCTCACCTCACCCCTGGCACCCCTCTCACCTCACCCCTGGCACTCCTCTCACCTCACCCCTGGCACTCCTCTCACCTCACCCCTGGCACCTCTGGCACCTCACTCACCCCTGGCACCTCTGGCACCCACAGAGACGGTCTACTACCTGGACCTGACCCTTGTGGGCTACTTGGAAGGTGACGTCATCACTCTGGACACCATCTACTATGTTGATAAGGTAAACTTTGGTTGTTTATGTAAACTTAGGTTGATTATGTAAACTTAGGTTGATTATGTAAACTTAGGTTGATTATGTAAACTTTGGTTGATTATGTAAACTTTGGTTAATAAGGTAAACTTTTGTTGATAATGTAAATGTTGGTTGCTAATGTAAATTTTGGTTGATAATGTAGACTTTGGTTGATATAGTAAACTTTCTTTGAAAATGTAAACTTTCATTGAAAATGTAAACTTTGGTTGATAAGGTAAACTTTGGTTGATAATGTAAACTTTGGATGGTAATGTAAACTTTGGTTGATAAGCTAAACTTTGGTTGATAACGTAAACTTTGGATGACAATGCAAACTTTGGATGACAATGTAAACTTTGGATGACAGTGTAAACTTTGGATGACAATGTAAACTTTGGTTGATACGGTAAACTTTGGTTGAAAAATGTAAACTTTGGTTGAAAAAGGTAAACTTTGGTTGATAAGGTAAGATAAAGTTGTCACTTTAACACCAAGGATGGATACTTATACTTCTAACACCTTCTAACGTAACATACTTTACGCCAACACTTATCATCACTAAACACTAATACTTGTTAAATAATTAGTAGTGCAATCAGGTTCGTTCCTGACTCATAATCAGTTCTGGGGTCGAATCCCGGGATGTCAGAAATGGTTGGGCACTATTCCAATCACTGGTGCCCCTGTTCACCTAGCAGTCAATAGGTACCCAGGAGTTAGTCAGCATGTTGTGGAGTTATATCCTGGGGGGGGGAGGTCAGTAGTTCAGGGTGGGGGAGACCTCGATATAAGCCTAATGTGTATATATATACACTGGCTGCCTGTCCCCCCGACACAATGAATAATAACATATAAAATGATTTCTTTTCTCTATATATTTGTGAATGACTTATCTTACCCCCATACTGTGAAGTCTGCCTCCACCCCTCCCTGCCTCCCACCACCAGCTGCCTCCACCCCTCCCTGCCTCCCATCACCAGCTGCCCACCCCTCCCTGCCTCCCATCACCATCCCTCCCCACCCCTCCCTGCCTCCCATCACCAGCTGCCTCCATCCCCTCCCTGCCTCCCAGCATCACCAGCTGCCTCCACCCCTCCCTGCCTCCCATCACCAGCTGCCTCCACCCCTCCCTGCCTCCCATCACCAGCTGCCTCCACCCCTCCCTGCCTCCCATCACCAGCTGCCTCCATCCCTCTCTGCCTCCCATCACCAGCTGCCTCCATCCCTCCCTGCCTCCCATCACCAGCTGCCTCCACCCCTCCCTGCCTCCCATCACCAGCTGCCTCCATCCCTCCTGCCTCCCATCACCAGCTGCCTCCATCCCTCCCTGCCTCCCATCACCAGCTGCCTCCACCCCTCCCTGCCTCCCATCACCAGCTGCCTCCACCCCTCCCTGCCTCCCATCACCAGCTGCCTCCATCCCTCTCTGCCTCCCATCACCAGCTGCCTCCATCCCTCCCTGCCTCCCATCACCAGCTGCCTCCACCCCTCCCTGCCTCCCATCACCAGCTGCCTCCACCCCTCCCTGCCTCCCATCACCAGCTGCCTCCATCCCTCCCTGCCTCCCATCACCAGCTGCCTCCACCCCTCCCTGCCTCCCATCACCAGCTGCCTCCATCCCTCCCTGCCTCCCATCACCAGCTGCCTCCACCCCTCCCTGCCTCCCATCACCAGCTGCCTCCATCCCTCCCTGCCTCCCATCACCAGCTGCCTCCACCCCTCCCTGCCTCCCATCACCAGCTGCCTCCACCCCTCCCTGCCTCCCATCACCAGCTGCCTCCACCCCTCCCTGCCTCCCATCACCAGCTGCCTCCATCCCTCCCTGCCTCCCATCACCAGCTGCCTCCACCCCTCCCTGCCTCCCATCACCAGCTGCCTCCATCCCTCCCTGCCTCCCATCACCAGCTGCCTCCACCCCTCCCTGCCTCCCATCACCAGCTGCCTCCATCCCTCCCTGCCTCCCATCACCAGCTGCCTCCACCCCTCCCTGCCTCCCATCACCAGCTGCCTCCATCCCTCCCTGCCTCCCATCACCAGCTGCCTCCACCCCTCCCTGCCTCCCATCACCAGCTGCCTCCATTCCTCCCTGCCTCCCATCACCAGCTGCCTCCACCCCTCCCTGCCTCCCATCACCAGCTGCCTCCATCCCTCCCTGCCTCCCATCACCAGCTGCCTCCACCCCTCCCTGCCTCCCACCACCAGCTGCCTCCACCCCTCCCTGCCTCCCATCACCAGCTGCCTCCGTCCCTCCCATCACCAGCTGCCTCCACCCCTCCCTGCCTCCCATCACCAGCTGCCTCCATCCCTCCCTGCCTCCCATCACCAGCTGCCTCCACCCCTCCCTGCCTCCCATCACCAGCTGCCTCCACCCCTCCCTGCCTCTCCATCACCACCCCTCTCCCTCACCAACCCCCATGGGCCACGCATCAAGACCTAAGCCAGTTGTGCCCTATACACCATACAGGCTGGGGAGGAGCTGCGCGCCATCCCGTACTCCGGGGAACTCGCTGATCACCTCTACATCAGAACTGAGCCGCTCCCTGAAGAGTCCTTCTTCCTCGTCATCTCCGGCCACGTCTCCACAGGTATGGCGCCTCTTGTTCAGTCACCTGCAAGTCTCCAGGTATGGAGAGTTAGGCAGGACGCTAGGTTACACTTGGAAGACACGCTTGGTTCGTTAGATATCCGGCAAACTGTTTTCTCTTCCAATAGGAACCGTGACAATGAGACACATGTCAGTACTACACTACCACCAAGAAACTAATCACGTTCGTACTCAGCTTGTTGCTAACTTTAAGTGCCCTAAACAAGCAAGTAATAAAAGAACTGAAGCCATCCCATAGACCCATCCCCATAGAATACACGGCCGATTTCCTCAATTTAGCCACTTTGAGGGCGGGAAGGCCCGTCACTGTATGTCAGCCCACACCAGCACAGTTGAGATTAATGGGAGAGTAGAGAATAACATTTGCTATTCTTCTAAGCATTAAAAATGGCTGAACACACAGGTATAAAAAGAACAAAACATTACGGACTGCCCGTTCTCATTACTAGCTCTACAAATCTTAGTCAGAACGCAAAATGTTTCTCTCCTAGGATAGGCATATATACATAGCATATACATAATAATGTATTAGAGTCAAACGATAGTAGTAGTAGTAGGCATCGTTCGGTCTCGGGAGTGTGTGACTGATGAGGCCAAACCGAGAATGACAATCCATCCCACACTGAGCACAAGCGAAGTCTGATTCTGGTCTGTCTTCCTGGCTATTGGCTTTCCTTTCCTTTCTGATCAGACTGCCTCCAGGCTGATCGGTCTGCAACCAGTGTTTCCCACGTGGCAAGATCGACGTCCATGGCTTTCAGGGCCCTCTTGCTTTGTACCATAGCTGGGGTTTACCTGTTGGACGTTTTCCCCGAGTCAGCCCTCCTACAGGAGATTTTTGGGGATCCTGCCGTCGCCCATTCGCACCACGTGCCCGAGCCAGCGCGTCTCTGCTTCAGCATTATGTTCATGCTGGGATTCTAGCTCTCCGCAGGACGCTGTTGTTTGTCACCTTGTCCTGCCAGGTGATGTCCAAGATGTGTCGGAGGCAGCGCATGTAGTAAGCATTCAGCTTTCTTTCCTGTCGGGCGCGGAGTGTCCAGGACTCATTGCCATATAGGAGAGTGCTCAGGACGTAGGCTTTGTAAACCTGGATCTTTGTATACTCAGCCTATTGTTGGCCCACACTCTCTTTGTCAATTTGGACATGGTTGTAGATACCTTACTGATGCGTTTGTTGAGCTCCGTGTCAAAAGAGAGGGAGTCAAAGACTGTAAAGCCCAGGTACACTCCTGTTTCTAATCAGAGATGCCAATGTCAGGTGGAGAGCCCTCTCCTTGTTCCATGACCTGTGTTTTCTTCAGGCTGAAGGTGAGTCCGAAGGCCTGGCAAACCTCGCTTACGGGTCATGATCCCTTGGAGGTCTTTGGCTGAGTGGGTGGTGACTGCTGCATCGTCAGCAAAAAGGAAGTCACGCGGACACCTCAGCTGAGCCTTTGTCTTGGCTCTTAGCCTGGCGTGGTTGAAGAGCTTTCCGTCCGACCTGGTCCGGAGGTAAATGCCTTCTGTGGCAGATCCGTTGGCTGCAGCATAACTGCAAAGAAAATCCCGAATAGGGTTGGAGCCAGGACGCCGCCCTGCTTTACTCCGCTTCGGATGTCAAAAGCGTTTGATGTTGAGCCGTCAAAGACCACGGTGCCCTTCATGTTCTCGTAGAAAGATCTGGTGATGTTGAGGAGCCTGGGTGGACATCCGATCTTGGAAATTATTGTGGAACCTCAGATAAAGGTCCCCCAGAACCTTTCTCTAAGAAAGTCGATGCCTTTGCTTAGCTTGAAGCAAATATTAATTGGAGCTAAATCAGTCAACGGCCTCGCTTCATGCAGGGTTGGGGTTCAATCCCCGAAGATCCACGTGGCAGGGCACCGTACCTTCACTTCGTCTTCACACCGCCAGTTCCTTACCCTCAAATCTTTTCCAAGTGCTATATAGTCAAACTGGCTTAGCACTTCCTCCTCATAAATAACACGACCCTCTCGACAAGAGTACAGAGCTGTACAGTACTGTACTGTGAGCACTACCAAGACATTAGCAACAGTGAAGTGTTGAAGAACAGTACAGCAGGAGTAAGGTCAGGTCACCAGCTGTCTGTCAAACACTGTAGTGTGCTCGTACAAACACTAAACACTGTAGTGTGCTCGTACAAACACTAAACACTGTAGTGTGCTCGTACAAACACTAAACACTGTAGTGTGCTCGTACAAACACTAAACACTGTAGTGTGCTCGTACAAACACTAAACACTGTAGTGTGCTCGGTACAAACACCAATGGAGCTCATCAACGTATCACGGGCAAGATGTTGTGCAGACGGCGTGTAGCCCAATAGTACACAGCCGTCCCTCACACCTTGTTTTCTAATTATACAAGATTCATATATCGTTAAGATAGACGCTGGATTCAATTAGGTTTCGGCTGGATTAACGTAATTAGGCTTTGAATACAACCAAGACAATCCGCTGGAGTAGTCTGGTGTATGAAATGGAGTGTAATGGCTTTGTTGTGTGTCGCAGGGAAGAGGTACCAGCGGGTGCAGGTGGTGTTGATAACGCCGGTGTCCACCAGTGTGGAGGTGAGGGCCACCTCCGAGGACCTCTCTGCCAGGCCCGGGGAGTCAACGACAGCAGTCTTCGTCGTCACCAACTACGGCCTCACCTCCTACTTCGACATCTCCGGCACGGACGACCTGGGCTTCCTCACCACTGTCACTCCTGCCAGGTAATGCTCCGCTACTCACCCCCCTCCCCTAGTAGATCCTTCTCCTAGCAGGCACTGACCCACCCCCTCTCTCACTTCTAGCTGCCACACACCCCTAGCATGTACTGTTCTTATCCTAGCTGGTTCTGCCTTTCACCTAGCCACTCCTAGCAGGTATAATGGTCCGCTACTGACCCACCACTAGCAGAAACTGTCTATATCCTAGCAAATACTCCCCCACTAACGTCTCACACCTAGCAGGTGCTGCCATGCCCCCCCCCCTCCAAGCAGGTCCTGGCCTTGACCTAGCGGCCCTGTCGAGGTACTGAGAACACAGCTGTAGCGCCATCTTCCGCAGGGTACACCTGGCCACCAACGAGTCAGCGGAGGTGGTAGCGAGCTTCACCGTACCGACGAGCGCGCTCTCGGGCTCCGTGAGCACCGTGGTGGTCACTGCGCAGAGTGAGTCCCAGACGCGCTCAGTCAACAGTGCCGTCGCCCACTTCGTCGTTCTTTCCACGGTCAGTCTCTCTCTCACACACCTGTCCTTACGTGTGGTGCTCACACACATACACACACACACACACACACACACACACACACACACACACACACACACACAACACACAGAAGAAGCTGCCTGACTCCCAGATACCTATTTACTGCTATGTAACAGGGGCATCAGGATGAAAGAAACTCTGGGAAATGAGAAACGTCTTCCCATTCTCATTAGACCCTACGTGGTATCCACGTGGAATGAATAATGGCTGAAAACAAACAAGAAACGCAGTTTTTTTTTTACATGACGATGTCCTTTATCTTATGGTATTGGTAACGTTGTTCTAATATTTGTTTTTATATGCACATATTCCTCTAGAGCATTCTATTGCGAATAATTTGATACCAAATTGAGCAACGTAGCACGAAAATTTAGATCAGAAAGCTGAAAAAGAGTATAAATATTTGTGGGTGGAGGCGAGTTCCTGCTCCCCACTTGGGATACCTTGAGGTGCGCGGCGGGTCGTCCAGCGGCACCTGAAGGGAGAAAGAAGACCAGGAGGTATCAATATTATAAAGGTGAGGTAACTACGGGAACTGGAATAGAAAGATGAAGGAGTGGACATAATTCCAACGCTCACTCCGGAGGCACACATAAGCAAAGTAATATCAGCAGCATTTAGGACGCTGGCAAGTATTAGAACATCAACAAATCTAAAATAATACTCTTTCAAGGCAATCAACACAGCCTAGACCAATACTGGAATATGCAGCACTGATCTGGAACCCACACCTTGTAAAGCATAAAAAACAAAATTATAATCTCAAGTTCCAGACAGCGTCAATATTGCGGTGTTTTTATTTTCCCTAAACCACTGCAGATTTTACGGTGTCACGATTGCTTAAAAAATGTAGTGGGTTGAATGAAAGAATGGGCTGCCGTGTTAGTGATCTAAGAGGGTGACTATGAACATGAGTTAAGGAGAAGGGGAAGGGGGAAGGGGAAGGGTTAAGGGGAAGGGGAAGGGTTAAGGGGAAGGGGAAGGGTTAAGGGGGGAAGGGCTAAGGCCAAACACTGTCATACTAGAAAATGTTACTGGCTTGTGAAATTGACAATGTCCCGTTTTCTGTTGGTGGGTCCTTTGGTAAGTTAAGGCACGCTAGTACAAGAATTTCTTGACGTTGGGAGCGCTCGCGAGAACGGGGTGAGATATCACAACACTAACAGGACAGGACAGAGGAAATATGATCGCAACATACAAGATACTGATGAGAACAGACAAGATGAACGAAGACAGCCTTTATAAATTGAACGAAATGAGGAGACACAGCTGCAAGCTGGACACACTGAACAAAGAATATAAAAGTCAATATACCCAACTTAAAGACCACACGAGACAAAGAGTTCCAATGTTAGAATAGTTAAGTTATAACACAAACAGTACAACACGGCGGTACAGCTCACTCCCTACAGTCAGAGAGCTCACTCCCTACAGTCAGAGAGCTCACTCCCTACAGTCAGAGAGCTCACTCCCTACAGTCAGAGAGCTCACTCCCTACATTCAGAGAGCTACAGTCAGAGAGCTCACTCCCTACAGTCAGAGAGCTCACTCCCTACAGTCAGAGAGCTCACTCCCTACAATCAGAGAGCTCACTCCCTACAGTCAGAGAGCTCACTCCCTACAGTCAGAGAGCTCACTCCCTACAGTCAGAGAGCTCACCCCTACAGTCAGAGAGCTCACTCCCTACAGTCAGAGAGCTCACTCCCTACAGTCAGAGAGCTCACTACAGTCAGAGAGCTACAGTCAGAGAGCTCACTCCCTACAGTCAGAGAGCTCACTCCCTACAGTCAGAGAGCTCACTCCCTACAGTCAGAGAGCTCACTCCCTACAGTCAGAGAGCTCACTCCCTACAGTCAGAGAGCTCACTCCCTACAGTCAGAGAGCTCACTCCCTACAGTCAGAGAGCTCACTCCCTACAGTCAGAGAGCTCACTCCCTACAGTCAGAGAGCTCACCCCTACAGTCAGAGAGCTCACTCCCTACAATCAGAGAGCTCACTCCCAACATTCAGAGAGCTCACCCCTACAGTCAGAGAGCTCACTCCCTACAGTCAGAGAGCTCACTCCCTACAGTCAGAGAGCTCACTCCCTACAGTCAGAGAGCTCACTCCCTACAATCAGAGAGCTCACCCCTACAGTCAGAGAGCTCACTCCCTACAGTCAGAGAGCTCACTCCCTACAGTCAGAGAGCTCACTCCCTACAGTCAGAGAGCTCACTCCCTACAGAGAGAGCTCACTCCCTACAGTCAGAGAGCTCACTCCCTACAGTCAGAGAGCTCACTCCCTACAGTCAGAGAGCTCACTCCCTACAGTCAGAGAGCTCACTCCCTACAGTCAGAGAGCTCACTCCCTACAGTCAGAGAGCTCACTCCCTACAGCCAGAGAGCTCACTCCCTACAGTCAGAGAGCTCACTCCCTACAGTCAGAGAGCTCACTCCCTACATTCAGAGAGCTCACCCCTACAGTCAGAGAGCTCACTCCCTACAGTCAGAGAGCTCACTCCCTACAGTCAGAGAGCTCACTCCCTACAATCAGAGAGCTCACTCCCTACAGTCAGAGAGCTCACCCCTACAGTCAGAGAGCTCACTCCCTACAGTCAGAGAGCTCACCCCTACAGTCAGAGAGCTCACTCCCTACAGTCAGAGAGCTCACTCCCTACAGTCAGAGAGCTCACTCCCTACAGTCAGAGAGCTCACTCCCTACAGTCAGAGAGCTCACTCCCTACAGTCAGAGAGCCCACACCCCACAGTCAGAGAGCTACCTCCCTACAGTCAGAGAGCTCACTCCCTACAGTCAGAGAGCTCACTCCCTACAGTCAGAGAGCTCACTCCCTACAGTCAGAGAGCTCACCCCCTACAGTCAGAGAGCTCACTCCCTACAATCAGAGAGCTCACTCCCTACATTCAGAGAGCTCACCCCTACAGTCAGAGAGCTCACTCCCTACAGTCAGAGAGCTCACTCCCTACAGTCAGAGAGCTCACTCCCTACAGTCAGAGAGCTCACTCCCTACAGTCAGAGAGCTCACCCCTACAGTCAGAGAGCTCACTCCCTACAGTCAGAGAGCTCACTCCCTACAGTCAGAGAGCTCACTCCCTACAGTCAGAGAGCTCACTCCCTACAGTCAGAGAGCTCACTCCCTACAGTCAGAGAGCTCACTCCCTACAGTCAGAGAGCTCACTCCCTACAGTCAGAGAGCTCACTCCCTACAGTCAGAGAGCTCACTCCCTACAGTCAGAGAGCTCACTCCCTACAGTCAGAGAGCTCACTCTCTACAGTCAGAGAGCTCACCCCTACAGCCAGAGAGCTCACTCCATACAGTCAGAGAGCTCACTCCCTACAGTCAGAGAGCTCACTCCCTACAGTCAGAGAGCTCACTCCCTACAGTCAGAGAGCTCACTCCCTACAGTCAGAGAGCTCACTCCCTACAGTCAGAGAGCTCACTCCCTACAGTCAGAGAGCTCACTCCCTACAGTCAGAGAGCTCACTCCCTACAGTCAGAGAGCTCACTCCCTACAGTCAGAGAGCTCACTCTCTACAGTCAGAGAGCTCACCCCTACAGCCAGAGAGCTCACTCCCTACAGTCAGAGAGCTCACTCCCTACAGTCAGAGAGCTCACTCCCTACAGTCAGAGAGCTCACTCCCTACAGTCAGAGAGCTCACTCCCTACAGTCAGAGAGCTCACCCCTACAGTCAGAGAGCTCACTCTCTACAGTCAGAGAGCTCACCCCTACAGTCAGAGACTACATTAAGACTGCCACTGTATTATACATTAGAGTGTGCCAGGTGTGTAAAGTGCGCCACCTCATGTCTCCCTCACACAGGTCGACGACTCTGAGCCTCCCATCTGCAAGATGCTGGACTGGTCCAACTGTACCGGCTACACTGACAACGGCATCTGTTCCCTCAGCTCCTGGACCCTCGACGCCTCCCTCCAGGACATTGGCTCAGGTACTCTTCCCCCCCCTTTTGGCAAGTGCTCTTGTAATAGTTTACCCTTCACCAGTTACTCTTGTGGTAGTTTACCCCTTCACCAGTTACTCTTGTGGTAGTTTACCCCTTCACCAGTTACTCTTGTGGTAGTTTACCCCTTCACCAGTTACTCTTGTGGTAGTTTACCCCTTCACCAGTTACTCTTGTGGTAGTTTACCCTTCACCAGTTACTCTTGTGGTAGTTTACCCCTTCACCAGTTACTCTTGTGGTAGTTTACCCCTTCACCAGTTACTCTTGTGGTAGTTTACCCCTTCACCAGTTACTCTTGTGGTAGTTTACCCCTTCACCAGTTACTCTTGTGGTAGTTTACCCCTTCACCAGTTACTCTTGTGGTAGTTTACCCCTTCACCAGTTACTCTTGTGGTAGTTTACCCTTCACCAGTTACTCTTGTGGTAGTTTACCCTTCACCAGTTACTCTTGTGGTAGTTTACCCCTTCACCAGTTACTCTTGTGGTAGTTTACCCTTCACCAGTTACTCTTGTGCTAGTTTACCCTTCACCAGTTACTCTTGTGGTAGTTTACCCCTTCACCAGTTACCCTTCTTGGGGTAACCCAAGAAGGGTTACCACTCCAAGTCATCCTCCTGGACAAGACTCGCCATTAGTTTAAAAAGTATTCACAGTAATGTATATATAGTTTAGCACTTGCTGGGAGCGGCCAGTAGTCGACTAGGATAACCACTGGTGCCCGCCCTCAGGACTGTACCAAGTGAGGGCCCAACCCACCGGGGAGGTGTTCGAGGTCACCGACCTCACCCCGGGGACGACCAGCGAGGTGCTCACCGTCTACGAGAACAGCTGCTGCTACCCGTACGTCGAGTTGATCGGCGTCGACGGCCAGGCCAACGTGGGCAAGTGCGTCGTCGACATGGGACCCCTGGGAGGTGAGTTACCTCCACCACGGTTCATCAAGCAGCCACTTACGGAACCTCTACATCTTTCCTCAATCACTGCCTCTTTACTTACATTTATGAAACAGAATATGAGCTCAGAGGCTCCATGAGGAAGTTTATACTGTCTGCTCTCCTGGCTACCCCACCATGGTCACTGTCTGCTCTCCTGGCCACCCCTCCATGGTCACTGTCTGCTCTCCTGGCCACCCCTCCATGGTCACTGTCTGCTCTCCTGGCCACCCCTCCATGGTCACTGTCTGCTCTCCTGGCCCCCTCTCTATGGTCACTGTCTGCTCTCCTGGCCACCTCTCTATGGTCACTGTCTGCTCTCCATCATTATGTGTCTGCAGGTATGATCTACAAGTGTGTCTGCAGGTATGATCTACAAGTGTGTGTGTCTGCAGGTATGATCTACAAGTGTGTGTGTCTGCAGGTATGATCTACAAGTGTGTGTGTCTGCAGGTATGATCTACAAGTGTGTGTGTCTGCAGGTATGATCTACAAGTGTGTGTGTCTGCAGGTATGATCTACAAGTGTGTGTGTCTGCAGGTATTATCTACAAGTGTGTGTGTCTGCAGGTATGATCTACAAGTGTGTGTGTCTGCAGGTATGATCTACAAGTGTGTGTGTCGCAGGTATGATCTACAAGTGTGTGTGTCTGCAGGTATGATCTACAAGTGTGTGTGTCTGCAGGTATGATCTACAAGTGTGTGTGTCGCAGGTATGATCTACAAGTGTGTGTGTCTGCAGGTATGACCTACAAGTGTGTGTGTCTGCAGGTATGATCTACAACTTCGAGGTGGTGACTGCTGGGGACACCTACATGATCCTCCACTGGAACATCACTCCGTCCCACTACGAGATCTACGACTACGACCTCCTCGTCGACTCAGAGTTTGTCCAGCAGATCACATGTAAGGAGGTATGTACACGACGGTCAGGTTATCAGGAGACTGCGCTAAGCTGGGGAGAGGTGTGAGGGCCGGGGAGAGGGGAGAGGTGTGAGGGCCGGGGAGAGGGGAGAGGTGTGAGGGCCGGGGAGAGGGGAGAGGTGTAGCGTCAAGAGTTCTGGCTATGAGTAAGCTCGTGTTTACACTCCTACTGGAAACATCACAGACTGCCAAGTGCGTCGCATAATAATCTTAGAGATATCCGATGGTGACGCAGTTTGCGTCCGGAATTAAAATACTTGTTAAAATTCCGTTTATTGTTCGATTATTATGGGACTAGCTTTAAAATGCGCGTCTTTAAGTTATGAACAATTCGATACCACAATGAACGACATAGGTCTGGGATTGAGGTCAAAACACAGGAAAGAGTACATATGTTAGTGTGGGCGGTCGTTCCCTGGACCGCTCACGGGAACCGCCAGACACAGCAAGGGGTGGGTTGGGGCGCTCGCTGAGAGCGGGAAAGTGTCAAGTAGTTGTCTTGTTAATAACGACGTATTAACGCAGATTTGTGCGTGGGTAAGGGAGTAGTGTATTATGGGTAAGGGAGTAGTGTATTGTGGGTAATGGAGTAGTGTATTATGGGTAAGGGGGTAGTATATTGTTGGTAATGGAGTAGTGTATTATGGGTAAGGGGGTAGTGTATTGTGGGTAATGGAGTAGTGTAGTGTGGTTAAGGGGGTAGAGTGTAGCGTGGGTAAAGGGATAGTGTAGCGTGGTTAAGAGGGTAGTATAGCGTGGGTAAGGGGGTAGTGTAGCGTGGTTAAGGGGGTAGTGTATAGTGGATAAGGGGGGATAGTGTAGCGTGGTTAAGGGATAGTGTAGCAAGGAAGTGGTGGCCCATGGCAGCCATTGAACGCGCAGTGCCATATGTTGTGTGTGTTACCAACCCGTCCTCGCTATAACATAGTATCTCTGTAACTAAAAGCTTATAGTTCCTATGCTGCTAATGTTCATAGTTCCACTGTGGTAGATAACGAGAACAGGTTGGTGTTACAGGATTACTGTGTTGCCCTGGTGAGCTACCTGGAGCCTCATCCTGTGTATGTTACAGGACTACTGTGTGGCCCTGGTGGGCTACCTGGAGCCTCATCCTGTGTGTATGTGTTACAGGACTACTGTGTGGCCCTGGTGGGCTACCTGGAGCCTTATCCTGTGTGTATGTGATACAGGACTACTGTGTGGCTCTGGTGAGCTACCTGGAGCCTCATCCTGTGTGTATGTGTTACAGGACTACTGTGTGGCTCTGGTGAGCTACCTGGAGCCTCATCCTGTGTGTATGTGTTACAGGACTACTGTGTGGCCCTGGTGAGCTACCTGGAGCCTCATCCTGTGTGTATGTGTTACAGGACTACTGTGTGGCCCTGGTGAGCTACCTGGAGCCGTGCACCGCCCAGACCTTCAACCTCACACCTGTCTTCGACTACAATGGTGAAAAGCTGCCTGGCATCCCTGCCTACACCCAGGGAGACACTCTTGACGATGAAGGTTAGTACAAACACACACACACTTGGGGTCTGGTAGCTGAGTGGACAGCGCGCGGGATTCGTAATCCAGTGAACACAACGTTTGATAAGTAACGCAACACAGAAGACATAATAACAAAGATTTTCAGAATAACTGGGGTGATCAGTGACAAAATGTCAATATTAGAAGTGGGACAAGGAGTGGCCATGGGTGGAAACCTGAGGCGCAGATCACTGACGCATATGTTAGCAAGATCGTCTCTAGCATAAAGACCGTGAGCCAGCAGAGTGGATTAGAGGGGTAGCTACTTCAAACTATTTCATTGTACAGCTTGAGAAGTAGATATAAACAAGAGGTATGGCAGCTACAATATTAGGCGGTAGGCAGCTGGGAAGGTGGTGCTCATAAGGTAACTCACTGCCCTGAGAAACACAACTGGGTAACATGCGCTCACACACACTGCCAGGAACACTTATACACATGAGTGGTCTTATGCAATATACCAATTCTGTATTTGCTAAGTATCTACTGAGTTGATCCTTTGTATATCTTATCAATAAAATATTATTTATTCACTGACTTACACACACGAAAGCATGGCAACCTGAAGGGGTCATCCCAACCAATTGTGGTCCTCACCTTAACCATTTCTCACGAGCGGCCTCAACGAGAACACTATTATTCTGCTGACGCTCAGGTCTGGCCGATGAAGCCGAAGTTGGCTCACTGATGCTAGTTCCCATTTCCATAACTGTTGTTTTAGTGACCAGAACCAAGGAAGTGATCACAGCCAAGGAAGCGATCACAGCCAAGGAAGTGACCACAGCCAAGGAAGTGATCACAGCCAAGGAAGTGATCACAGCCAAGGAAGTGATCACAGCCAAGGAAGTGATCACAGCCAAGGAAGTGATCACAGCCAAGGAAGTGACCACAGCCAAGGAAGTGACCACAGCCAAGGAAGTGACCACAGCCAAGGAAGTGATCACAGCCAAGGAAGTGACCACAGCCAAGGAAGTGACCACAGCCAAGGAAGTGACCACAGCCAAGGAAGTGACCACAGCCAAGGAAGTGACCACAGCCAGGTTGATTAAGTTGTGGTCCTTTAGAACCGATAATTATCAGACAGAAGTTTCCATTATTTGTCCTGACGCCAATGTCACACACGGCGATAATTCTGATTCCATTTATCGTTATATTTTCTTAAATATTAACAGAACATTCGCTCGTGTTCACTCGATCTTAGCACCTTGCCTTCTTATCTTATATTTGTTTATATGCTATAACATTATGAGTAGACTTCCCACATAGCCGGTCTATCACCGCTGATCACCACACATTGGCCATACACAACACACAACCTCTAAGAACGGAAGACCATACAGTCGGGTCGAGATGCTAGTCTCGACCCGACTGTGATGGGCACCTACACAATAGTAATTACAGGGAAACATTAGGTGAAAGTAGCCCCACGCGTTCGGCCTTCAACCTCAGACGGAGAGAGAGGGATATTTCCATTTATTGATATAGATACATGTACTTACTAGCTAGAGCCACACAAATTGTTCTAGCAAACAAGGCCAATTTGATTAACTGGCAGAAAGTCATTTTTTCAAATATTTCTTTCCAAACTGGTTTATTCCTAACCTAACAATATTAATATATTATATTAAAAATATCAATTACTGACATAGTTATGCGAGTGTAGGTTAGACTAGGTTAAGACAGGCTAGAAAAGGTTAAGTTAGGTTAGGTTTGGTCGCATTTGTATGTTAGTTGCACCCCCAAAAACAACAAAAATCGTAATCATATAGCTTCAGGCACATGTAATTAAGTGGTCCAGCTGCTTTTGCAATTAGCTTTTCTATACACCTGTGTGGGGGTCGAGGCTCCTGATAGTACTAGTTCTATACACCTGTGTGTGGGTCGAGGCTCCTGATAGCACTAGTTCTATACACCTGTGTGTGGGGATCGAGGCTCCTGATAGTACTAGTTCTATACACCTGTGTGTGGGTCGAGGCTCCTGATAGTACTAGTTCTATACACCTGTGTGTGGGTCGAGGCTCCTGATAGTACTAGTTCTATACACCTGTGTGTGGGGGTCGAGGCTCCTGATAGTACTAGTTCTATACACCTGTGTGTGGGGGTCGAGGCTCCTGATAGCACTAGTTCTATACACCTGTGTGTGGGGGTCGAGGCTCCTGATAGCACTAGTTCTATACACATGTGTGTGGGGTCGAGGCTCCTGATAGCACTAGTTCTATACACCTGTGTGGGGGTCGAGGCTCCTGATAGTACTAGTGTTTACCGTGCCTCCTCTCGCGCGTGGAGGACGGGTTGCGGATTGGGTATGTTGCTACAGTTCTCAGTTATTTAGTCCGAGTTTACTGGTTTGATGAAGCGTTTGATATGCTGCAAGTGTAGAGATAGGTGCCTCGTATGAGTCGTGTGCAGGTGTCGAGGCAGCAGGGAGAGTGTACGTAGGTGCTCAACAGGTAATGACAATACCCCTCGCCAACAGTGCCCCACACGCCCTTCAATGCGACGGAGGTGGACCGGACGGAGGTCAGCATCACCATCTCCTGGGAGGCCATCAACCCCAAGTGTAGCCACCTCTTCCAGGTGAGTTGAGTGCTGGCATGTGATACACTCTGTGTGTTCCCCTGGTGTAAATACACTGTGTGTGTGTGTGTGTGTGTGTGTGTGTGTGTGTGTGTGTGTGTGTGTGTGTGTGTGTGTGTGTGTGTGTGTGTTCCCTTGGTGTATGTGCACTGTGTGTTCTGGTGTATGTACAAGAGTGTATGAGCACTACAGGCTTCATGCAGCAGGAGTGTGCAGAAAATGTTGTTTCCTTAGCTTGCTTAAGCTAGAGGTGTATGTTAAATGTGTGTGTGCTAGTGGTGTGTTACAAGTATGTGTTAATTGTATATGTTATGGAGGTATGCTTCTAGCATGCGTGTTACAGGTGTGATACAGGCATGTGTTGTAGGTGTGTTACAGGCATGTATTGTGTGTTAATCATGTATTGTAGGTGTGTTACATTCGTGCACTGCAGGCATGTGTTACAGGTGTGTGCTGCAGATGAGTGCATCCACGCATTAAAAAGCTGCCCAACATGTATATTATACACGTTTTTGTGCTACAAATGCTCGCAAAGGTGTGCAGGTGCGTGTCGCACACGCTGACCCATTCCACACATGTCTGTGGGACAGGTACATACTAACACCGCCCCCCCCCCCTCCCCTTAACACCCGCAGGTGTGCTACTACGAAGTGGACTCTGGACCAGAGTTCGAGGTGTGCGCCAACACTACGGACACCACCTTCACCCTGGACGGCCTCCTGGAGTGCCGAGCCTACTTCCTGGACGTGTCGGGCTACACCCCCGCAGGCGTCATCAGCTCCCCGCTGCACTTCTACTCCGTCACCCTCTGCCCTGACGAGGCTTCCCGCCGGCAGCGCCACTAGGAGGGTCACCACCACCAGCAGGTCCACCACCACCACCAGCATGTCCACCACGACCAGCAGGGCCATTACCACCAGCAGGGCCATTACCACCAGCAGGGCCATTACCACCAGCAGGGCCACCACTAGCCCGTCTCCGCAGAGATTACCCTGCTGACGGCGTCCTGCTCTCACGCGAGGCTATGGAGGCATCTCTGTCACACTTTTCTGGATAACACAGGGTGAACTATACAAGTTCAGCTTTAAAAATCAACATAATATGGATTAGTTAGCATTACGCATACAAAACTGTATATCCTGTCAAGAACATAACTGAGGATGTACCTATTTCGAAAACAACTTTGCCTGGAAATTTTTCTTACACCATCAACAAAACATCAACGAAATAAAGTGAAGCTGCAGGATTGTATTAAGTATATAAGTAGTATTAGATTGTATAAGAAGTAAATAAAACCAGAGCATATTGGTCACGTCTTATTATTGTGAATGTTAAACGCAATTAGTTCCACATTACAAATCAAAAATGTAGGTTCCCAGATTCACCGTAATTCAATTTCTTCCTTTATTATGCACCCCCTTACCCATCTCGTGGGCGGCGGTGGAAAGGGTTTCAGGAACTGGACCCCATAGTTCGTTCAGCTAAGCAAGTGACAATGTTTTGAAGCTAGTTACACACTTGTTAATGTTACATACGCATGAACATTATATATATATATATATATATATATATATATATATATATATATATATATATATATATATATATACATATCAACAATTTTTTTTATATCACAAGTGATTCAGTTAATCCGTCGTATGAGTAAATATGCTCAGTAAATATCGCATAAATATAACATTTTAGGATTCATCTCAAGGTGTGCAGCTAATCTGATCCAAATGAGTTGATATTTGTATATGCTGGCATGTGTAACAAAAAATAAAAACCTGCTATTAAATGTAAAAATAAAATTTGTTAACAACTAACATTTCTGAACTTATTCAACACATTTTCCAACACTGATGGTCCCTATAGCTATTAGGGACGGAATGTACAGAATATGGACTGTTGTACTAAAAAGTACGTTTCGTACTTTTGGAATTGTTTAAGTTAAACTGAAAAAAATATCCATAAACCTAATCCGTCAAGTTGAGCCTAAATTTGCAACCACAGGCTTAAGCAATCTTAGGCCTAAATTAGTACATATATGTGGTCTACTTGGTCAAGAAAAAATAAGGTTTTGGTTATTGCCTCTGGCGCTCCACAATATTAATAATACAAAATGTGGACTTTTTTGGTTGCAACAGTCCGCAGTTTTTACTGCCAGCCATAGTGGCTATACGTACTGTAATGCTTGCAGAGGTTGCCCGGTGACAAGACATTGTGATTCCACACACATGAGTTACTAAAATACTGGAAGTTTTGTAAAGTGTCAAACAAAAACCATGAATTCACATTAAAAAAAATAGCACATTCCACTTGTGTCACAAGGGAAATATGCCAAGTTGAAAGCAATATGATTTTTTAAGATATTTAGCATTTATTTCTAAAAACTGCCTCTAGGGTGCTACAACATTCAAAGCAAATACCTCATAAATTTCCCAGGAACACTTGTGGGATTTATTAGACATGCAGAGCATTATTCGAATACCATTCAGAGTAGCACAATGTAGAAATATGCGGAAATACTGCCCAATCCTTTTGGCTGGACGGTAGAGCGACGGTCTCGCTTCATGCAGGATGGTGTTCAATCTCCAACCGTCCAAATTGTTGGGCACCATTCCTTCTCCTCGTCCGATCTCAGATCCTTATCCTGATCCCTTACCAAATTATATATATATATATATATATATATATATATATATATATATATATATATATATATATATATATATATATATATATATATATATATATATATATATATATATAGTATATTTTGGTAGCAGTCTTTCCTGTAGACATATATTATTAAATATGACCGAAAAAGTAAGATTAATAATTCTAACACGAATTTTTTCAATCTTTCGTACATTTCTTTTCACTGTTGGAGGTAATTCAAAAATCAATTCTCCAAAATTCATTTTTATTTCTAGTCTGACGCGACACTTGAGCGCGTTTCGTAAAACTTATTACATTTTCAAAGACTTTAGTTCACAAATACACAACTGAATAGAACTTACGTATCTCCGATTTTATATCTACATTTGAGTGAGGTGGAAGGGGTGATGTGGCATTAACACAAGACAGAACAAAATGTGGTATTAATAGGGTATTAATTTCATCAACACAAGACAGAACAAGAGTATTAATAAGGTATTAATTTCATCAACACAAGACAGAACACAAAACAATGGATATTGAATAGAAGTGTTTGTAGAAAGCCTATTGGTCCATATTTCTTGATGCTTCTATATTGGAGTGGAGTCTTGAGGTGGGTAGAATATAGTTGTGCAATAATTGGCTGTTGATTGCTGGTGTTGCCTTCTTGATGTGTAGTGCCTCGCATACGTGAAGCCGCCTGCTATCGCTGTATCTATCGATGATTTCTGTGTTGTTTACTAGGATTTCTCTGGCGATGGTTTGGTTGTGGGAAGAGATTATATGTTCCTTAATGGAGCCCTGTTGCTTATGCATCGTTAAACGCCTAGAAAGAGATGTTGTTGTCTTGCCTATATACTGGGTTTTTTGGAGCTTACAGTCCCCAAGTGGGCATTTGAAGGCATAGACGACATTAGTCTCTTTTAAAGCGTTCTGTTTTGTGTCTGGAGAGTTTCTCATGAGTAGACTGGCCGTTTTTCTGGTTTTATAGTAAATCGTCAGTTGTATCCTCTGATTTTTGTCTGTAGGGATAACGTTTCTATTAACAATATCTTTCAGGACCCTTTCCTCCGTTTTATGAGCTGTGGAAAAGAAGTTCCTGTAAAATAGTCTAATAGGGGGTATAGGTGTTGTGTTAGTTGTCTCTTCAGAGGTTGCATGGCTTTTCACTTTCCTTCTTATGATGTCTTCGACGAAACCATTGGAGAAGCCGTTATTGACTAGGACCTGCCTTACCCTACAGAGTTCTTCGTCGACTTGCTTCCATTCTGAGCTGTGGCTGAGAGCACGGTCGACATATGCGTTAACAACACTCCTCTTGTACCTGTCTGGGCAGTCGCTGTTGGCATTTAGGCACATTCCTATGTTTGTTTCCTTAGTGTATACTGCAGTGTGGAAACCTCCGCCCTTTTCCATGACTGTTACATCTAGAAAGGGCAGCTTCCCATCCTTTTCCATCTCGTAAGTGAAACGCAGCACGGAACTCTGTTCAAATGCCTCCTTCAGCTCCTGCAGATGTCTGACATCAGGTACCTGTGTAAAAATGTCGTCAACATACCTGCAGTATATGGCCGGTTTCAAGTTCATGTCGACTAAGACTTTTTGCTCGATGGTACCCATCTAGAAGTTTGCAAACAGGACACCTAGGGGAGAACCCATGGCGACCCCATCTACTTGCTTATACATGTGCCCATCCGGGCTCAAGAAGGGTGCCTCTTTAGTACAAGCTTGGAGTAGTTTCCTCAGAATATTTTCTGGTATGTCAAGAGGAGTACAGGCTGGATCACGATACACTCTGTCGGCTATCATTCCGATTGTCTCGTCCACAGGTACGTTGGTAAGCAAAGGTCAACAAACTGATCGAAACTGTGAACGCCAAGAAATCCGGACTCCACCTGCCAAAGATCATTGGGGAATATAAACCTGGATATGCGTATGGAAATGTCAAGACGCACAAGCCTGGAAACCCACTTCGGCCAATCATTAGCCAGATACCCACACCCACGTACAGATTGGCGAAGCGACTCAACGGCCTGCTGACTCCTTATGTTCCTTGCGCCTTCAGCCTGAAGTCTCCAAAGGAATTTGTGGACTTACTGCGGGGCGCACGGGCCACAGGGATAAGAGCCTCGTTGGACGTAGAATCGCTGTTTACCAACGTACCTGTGGACGAGACAATCGGAATGATAGCCGACAGAGTGTATCGTGATCCAGCCTGTACTCCTCTTGACATGCCAGAAAGTATTCTGAGGAAACTACTCCAAGCTTGTACTAAAGAGGCACCCTTCTTGAGCCCGGATGGGCATATGTATAAGCAAGTAGATGGGGTCGCTATGGGTTCTCCCCTAGGTTTCCTGTTTGCAAACTTCTACATGGGTACCATCGAGCAAAAAGTCTTAGTCGACATGAACTTGAAACCGGCCATATACTGCAGGTATGTTGACGACATTTTTACACAGGTACCTGATGTCAGACATCTGCAGGAGCTGAAGGAGGCATTTGAGCAGAGTTCCGTGCTGCGTTTCACTTACGAGACGGAAAAGGATGGGAAGCTGCCTTTTCTAGATGTAACAGTCATGGAAAAGGGCGGAGGTTTCCACACTGCAGTCTACACTAAGGAAACAAACATAGGAATGTGCCTAAATGCCAACAGCGACTGCCCTGACAGGTACAAGAGGAGTGTTGTTAACGCATATGTCGACCGTGCTCTCAGCCACAGCTCAGAATGGAAGCAAGTCGACGAAGAACTCTGTAGGGTAAGGCAGGTCCTAGTCAATAACGGCTTCTCCAATGGTTTCGTCGAAGACATCATAAGAAGGAAAGTGAAAAGCCATGCAACCTCTGAAGAGACAACTAACACAACACCTATACCCCCTATTAGACTATTTTACAGGAACTTCTTTTCCACAGCTCATAAAACAGAGGAAAGGGTCCTGAAAGATATTGTTAATAGAAACGTTATCCCTACAGACAAAAATCAGAGGATACAACTGACGATTTACTATAAAACCAGAAAAACGGCCAGCCTACTCATGAGAAACTCTCCAGACACAAAACAGAACGCTTTAAAAGAGACTAACGTCGTCTATGCCTTCAAATGCCCACTTGGGGACTGTAAGCTCCAAAAAACCCAGTATATAGGCAAGACAACAACATCTCTTTCTAGGCGTTTAACGATGCATAAACAACAGGGCTCCATTAAGGAACATATAATCTCTTCCCATAACCAAACCATCGCCAGAGAAATCCTAGTAAACAACACAGAAATCATCGATAGATACAGCGATAGCAGGCGGCTTGACGTTTGCGAGGCACTACACATCAAGAAGTCAACACCAGCAATCAACAGCCAATTATTGCACAACTATATTCTACCCACCTCAAGACTCCGCTCCAATATAGAAGCATCAAGAAATATGGACCAATAGGCTTTCTACAAACACTTCTATTCAATATCCATTGTTTCGTGTTCTGTCTTGTGTTGATACTTTTAATACCCTATTAATATCCTCTAATGCCACATCATCCTACCCATTCAATCAAATTGTTGAATGCCACATCACCCTTCCCACCTCACTCAAATGTAGATATAAAATCAGGGATGTGCAAGCTCTAATCAGTTGTGTATTTGTGAAGTCTTTGAAAATGTAATAAGTTTTACGAAACGCGCCCGTGTCGCGTCAGACTAGAAATAAAAATGAATTTTGGAGAATTGATTTTTGATTTACCTCCAACAGTGAAGCATAATGTACGAAAGATTGAGAAAATTCGTGTTAGAATTATTAATCTTACTTTTTCGGTCATATTTAATAATATATATATATCTACATATATATATATATATATATATACTATATATATATATATATATATATATATATATATATATATATATATATATATATATATATATATATATATATATATATATATATATATATATATATATATATATATATATATATATATATATATATATATATATATATATATATATATATATATATATATATATATATATATATATATATATATATATATATATATATATATATGTCGTTCCTAGTAGCCAGAACGCACTTCTCAGCCTACTATGCAAGGCCCGATTGGCCTATTAAGCCAAGTTTTCATGAATTAATTGTTTTTCGACTACCTTACCTACCTG